TGCACTAATAATATAACCGTTTATCATCAATTTCTTCCCGTACCTAGTTAGTTGAATAATATCAGTACGTTTCCTGATCTTCCAAATACCTATAGGTACTTATCGGTTATTGGTGTTGAACTAAACTCCGCTTGTTAGCTAAGTTTTATTTTAATTCTCTGCTTTCGGTGTGGAGTATTCACCAATTTACATTTCAAGGGTGTGACTGCTTTACGCACTTGTTATATTTTTCTTTAAGAAAATGTAACCCCTTTTTAACGAAATACGCCAGTAATAAATTTAGTCATCAATTAAATTCCTACACCGGTACCGGTAACAATATTAACATATAGATACGTCACCAAGTTACAGACATTAGTTTTATATAAAGACTAAGATGTGGTGTTGTGTCTAAATACAGTCGACAACTTATACATTGTGCAGGTAAATTTTTTTTTTTTTTGATTCTTATATGCGTGTGCTATTTATATTTTTGCGCTCACTACGTACATATAATTATATACCATTTACTGCAATTATGTATATAGGTACCTACTTCCGTTTTGTATGCATTGTGTTGAAATCGCCCATAGGAACAACGCTCTATTAATCATCGCTTCGGTTGCTTCATTAATTAATAATACGTAAATCGAATTCCTAGTTTGTTTTTGCAAATATTTGAATTAACATGTTTTTGTTATACTTATTGGAAATTAAAAAAAAAAACGTATTTCATTCTCTAAACTTTTGAAATTATTGCGATAGTTATGTACATAGAAAGTATGTTATTTAATCATTACATATTTATCGACGTCCATATACAATATTGTTGTTGATCCCATTTTTTAATCATCATTTTCTTTGAATATAATGAAATGACAACTGCTATACTATTAAAAGAGATAAACTATGTTTGTGACGAAATGAATCATCATCATCGTTTGTTTTAGTATGCATATAGATATTTCTTATCACAACAAAGCCGTTCTTTCGAATTAGTGATTTTGCGGTAGAAAATAATTAATTGTAAATCAGTAGTCAGTACCTACCTAGTTTTTGAATGGCGTTTGTAATAAGTTGTCGTTCTTATTATTGGAGATTGCTTTTTATTTTGTTTATGTATTCATTTAGTTTTATTTGTGTATTTTACAATTAATAGTATAAATACAAGCGAAGTTATATTATAAACTACAAGTTATTATAAACAAGCAACTAACACTAATGCGGTAGGTAGTCTTTAAATAACTATTTGTATTATACACAACTCGGTCTGTTTTACAATTTGTTTGTACAAGTTTAACAAACTTATCTTGCATTACATCGATCTCTACAAGAAAGTTATCTTGCGGTTTAGAAATCATTATGTAGTATGTAGTTTATTTATTTACTTCAATCTATCTCTATACGAAAAAACTATCAACTTTACTGGCTCATAATTAGAATTTTATTTTCATTGCGTGCCTATTACCTATTTTTTTATAAAGGCACTCAAAAATTTGATGGTAAATTTAATCGTAACATTTTATCATTAAAAACGAAGATATGTACATAATGTACGTGAATTTATTGATAAAGAATGTGGTGCACCTTTTTTTGTGCAAATAAATGGGGAAATACTGAAATGCATGGGGAGTATGGAATTTGTCAATATTAAAAATTCATTGTCCATTTTTAACTACAAGGAAATGTTATGCAGATTTACGGTCAAGGTAACTTTACTGGGAACAAAATGTTAAAAATAATAAAGAAGGGTATGTCATGCATGTCAACTAAACCTAGGTAAATTGTTTGGTAAATATTTGTATACAGGTAAGGCAACATGTTCACTGAGCATAGAAATTACGCATTTCTTTGTCGGAATTTTTTCTTTTTATATCCCTATGTTTTTTATATCATTATAAGATGGATTTTTATGGCAGTAATTTATGTGAAAGTTAATAATTTAAATTGGTAGTAACAAAGCTGGTTCACTGTACGTCTGTGAAGCCGGAAAATGTTAATTCTGTTAATATAAAGTTCTGCAAAAAAGAAAACTCTTTTTATCCACTATAAAATAAAAGTATAAATACGTGCAAAATTCTTGTTTCTAAAATGTTTTTACGTAGTATATCTACCTGAGTATTAGCGATTGTGACGAAGATTCCTTTGGCGTTTTAATACCTAAGTTTTATTAGATCATTGACCTTCATGAACTGAATCGAACTGTTTACTCTGTTCCGTTAATTCTAATTATTAGATACGTTATTGGTGAAGCAAATTGGAAGTTATATTAGAGCAGAGACGCATCTAATTTTCCTGTTTCGTGACTCACTCATAATACAAGGGTGGAAACAGACAGTAGGTTACGATATTAGACTATTATTCAAGAAAACAATAGAAACATCTTTCCGCTATATATCCACATGTAGCAATCACATGAAACTAAATGCGTAAACAATACATACATAAAGTACGTATAGATAGATCTTGATGTTTCACTAAGAAATTTTTCAAAATTTAATTACTTTGTTACATTTTATCTTATCTACCCTACATTCAGTATTTTTTTATCTTTAAACGATTGAACTTATCAAACAAATTGGTATTTTATTATAATGATTAAAGGCGCTCCTTCGTTGTGAATGTTTAGACTTTAGAGTATGGCAAGACACAAGGAATTTTTCGGGACTTATGTACCTATATATCTATATGTGTTGTGTATACCTAGCTATGAAAATCGAGGTAAGATCTTAAAAAGAGGGTTGCCCTACTTTTCAGAAGATTTAAGATAGATGTATTTTCAAATTTTCCATTATACGGTCTGTTGTATTGCTGGAGATAATGGGAAGTTTATACAAAATCTAAAAAAAAAAAATGATATCCTCTGTGAAGGTAAGATGGTAAAGATGGACAGTATAGGTAGGTAGTTTAAGAAATGAGACTTCTGCCGTTGCCTTATTTTTATTACGTCAATAAATTTCTAAAATNTTAAAAAGACGTGCAAAACCAAAAAAATCTCAAAATTGGTATAGCAAGCACCAAATTACCTCTGACGAGTCTTTATTAGCTATTATCAGAAATGAGATAATATAAGAATATGTCATTTCACTGGTTTCTTTACTTTTTTATTTGAGGAATTCACATATTCAATTTATTTACTTGTTATACCTTTTAACACATAACTATTATCTAAGTAAATGTTTCACTAAATGACATTATAAATCAGAACATGTCACCAAAATTACTTATTTTTGGCGGTTGAGATTTATTAGTGCATTAGATATTTAAGTAATAATAAGTAATATTTTTTTATATCTCTCTTTTTAACTAATCTTTTCTTCAATCACAATTGATACTGAATTATGATTTATAGTTAAACTAAGAATAGGTAATACTCTGCAATGTTTGATGAATTTATTTTCGTACTTAAATTTCGAAAAGTAGTACACATGTAAGTATTACCGACACATTATATATGCATTTCATTGCCAAAACGTTTATGGGATGACAAAATATTCCGCTTGGAAAGTTTAGTCAATTTCATAAATTTACTAATTACAAAGGTAAATTTTTGGGATGTTGCCAGAAAAAGCGTTTTGTAAATTCCGATTGTATTCCACAGGTATTCAAAGGTACAATTTCATGTTTAAAGGCACCGTATTTACCGTTGTGAAAAACTAACGATGTTTGTGCCAAATAAGTTCATTTTTTTTAATAACATATGTAGGTAGGTACATTTTATGTCGGATTTCGTGATAATGGTATTAGATAGGGGTGTTGCAATATATGGAATGGATGTTAAGCGGTATCCAGCATTGAACTGGGTGAAATATGTTGCTAGAATAGAGGATTCGAGTGTATGTAAGTTGATGTGTATGCTTTGTCTTCGGTGCATGAAAACGCATGTAGATATGTATTTGTGTATTTTAATAGCGCGCATACTTGAACTGCATTAACTAGTATTTCGACAGCAACTGAAAAAATCATGAAGATAAAAAAAACTTGGAGTTGGTTGCGGAATACTAAAAACAAGTAAGGGTCGGCGCGATGGTGATGCCTGGCGTCATCGACGTCGCGCGCCGTCTGCATCCGTCAGTTAGTTCGCTGCTCATTTTTACGTAGAATAAATTGTGGCGGAACAGATCGGCAAAAGTAAGTGCCTAGGCTCACGATCAGTTGTGCCCGTTTTGCCGTAGTTGTTGAAGTGCTGGAGCTCGCTCACTCACTCAATAGTATTCGCAGGCTGGTAGAAGAGGCCGTTTCAATTTGTATAATTCGTATTCGTACTCAAAAGCAGCAAAAGCGAAACCGATTAGAGCGCAAGTCTTTGCGTTGTTGTGCGCAAGTCGTAATAACGGCATCATCGCACGGCATGTCCCGGCATCGGGATTGAACGACAGCTTTGAAAGGCAACATCGCCCAACAGCAGAGCTGTAAACGGTGCGGCGGGTGCATTACGACATCGGACTGTCCATGTCCACTGGCCAGAAGAGCGGCTCGGAGAGGTGTGTGCGGACTCGTTTTTGAGAACAATCAGTGCTTGGGTGGGTTTGGGCACCCAGACCCCCTAATCCGTTCCCGAACGACCAATGTTAACTTGACCATCACTACGGAACATCTAGTCAGGCTGGACTGTGTCAAGGGCTCGGGGCCACCGCTACCGCAGCCTGGATTTATTGGACCGGGATTTAAAGTAAGTTCCTAACTACCTATGGAAAAGATACCGATTTGTTTTGGTCATTGTTGGTGCGGAAGTGACAAAAATTAGGTCGTCCTTTACCTGTCGATGACCTAATGATTGGTCAGCAACGAATAGTAACATAACTCAGTTGAACCTGCTCTTGATGTCTTTGGCTGAAAAAAACCATGCGGTTTTAACAATTATTGTTTTCGTCTGCAACCGGTTCTTATCTAATATTTGTCACCACGCGCGAACATGACGTCACCGGTGCTTTTATAGATATACAACCTGGTTATGACCAGTATAGAATCGACCTCGTTATTGCTAGGAATGTATAATATTTGTGTTATTGCTTGGTATTTGCAATTGTGGTAATCCTACAGCTCTTGGACAATGTGAGGCGACGCTGTGGCGTTCCCCGATAGGAAACTTTTCTGTTATCTGCTGCTTACGCTTACCGCATATTTCGTTTTGTACTTAGTCTAAATCGATCGACTGCGAGAACCGACATGGTGCCGTTGTCGGTTTTCGGAACCTTCGGAACGGTAGTAGTCAGTGTGGAGCGACTGTATGACGTCATGTCTCGATTCCTGACTGGCATGCATTATAAATAACCTCAATAGTTTAATGTTATCTTGGATATACAAGTCTATCGTGTTGTTGCTAGTAATACAGGTGTACGTGTATTTTGCACTAATAATATAACCGTTTATCATCAATTTCTTCCCGTACCTAGTTAGTTGAATAATATCAGTACGTTTCCTGATCTTCCAAATACCTATAGGTACTTATCGGTTATTGGTGTTGAACTAAACTCCGCTTGTTAGCTAAGTTTTATTTTAATTCTCTGCTTTCGGTGTGGAGTATTCACCAATTTACATTTCAAGGGTGTGACTGCTTTACGCACTTGTTATATTTTTCTTTAAGAAAATGTAACCCCTTTTTAACGAAATACGCCAGTAATAAATTTAGTCATCAATTAAATTCCTACACCGGTACCGGTAACAATATTAACATATAGATACGTCACCAAGTTACAGACATTAGTTTTATATAAAGACTAAGATGTGGTGTTGTGTCTAAATACAGTCGACAACTTATACATTGTGCAGGTAAATTTTTTTTTTTTTTGATTCTTATATGCGTGTGCTATTTATATTTTTGCGCTCACTACGTACATATAATTATATACCATTTACTGCAATTATGTATATAGGTACCTACTTCCGTTTTGTATGCATTGTGTTGAAATCGCCCATAGGAACAACGCTCTATTAATCATCGCTTCGGTTGCTTCATTAATTAATAATACGTAAATCGAATTCCTAGTTTGTTTTTGCAAATATTTGAATTAAAATGTTTTTGTTATACTTATTGGAAATTAAAAAAAAAAACGTATTTCATTCTCTAAACTTTTGAAATTATTGCGATAGTTATGTACATAGAAAGTATGTTATTTAATCATTACATATTTATCGACGTCCATATACAATATTGTTGTTGATCCCATTTTTTAATCATCATTTTCTTTGAATATAATGAAATGACAACTGCTATACTATTAAAAGAGATAAACTATGTTTGTGACGAAATGAATCATCATCATCGTTTGTTTTAGTATGCATATAGATATTTCTTATCACAACAAAGCCGTTCTTTCGAATTAGTGATTTTGCGGTAGAAAATAATTAATTGTAAATCAGTAGTCAGTACCTACCTAGTTTTTGAATGGCGTTTGTAATAAGTTGTCGTTCTTATTATTGGAGATTGCTTTTTATTTTGTTTATGTATTCATTTAGTTTTATTTGTGTATTTTACAATTAATAGTATAAATACAAGCGAAGTTATATTATAAACTACAAGTTATTATAAACAAGCAACTNACTTTACTTTTCAAACTCTATTAAATTTGAAATTTCTAAGATTTCAATTTGTTTCGTAGACTTTTTTTTTATTATAATGAGATTCATATAAATTTTTGTTTTAGAAAAATGAAAAGGAAGTTTAAATTATATATAATACAAATTTTACTGTTAATTTAAATGATAACCAAGCACTGTTAATTATTCGGCCTGTAAAAAAAAAACGATATTTCAAGGGAATAAAATGGTGCCATTGGGATTTGTTATATCTGTAGGAAGTAACACATTGTAATGAATCGTTTCAAAGTTAGTGACGTTGTTGAAAATTCGCCAAGTTTTGTTTTAGTGTTCTGCTTTTTGACTAACTTTACCATTTCATCATACATTTAAACATTGCCATCAGCGTAAACTTTACAGATTAAAAGGAAGTTTTTTGAATTAAAAATACATCATTCATACATGTATAATTAAATACACCTTTCTACATTAAACAAAAAAAATTATTTATTTTTTTTAAGGTTTGTATTTTACCTAATACACAGGTCAGCATTCAATTAAATCAATTGGGTCAGTATCCTTTGAGGGGCAGACAGACGGGGTAAGGGCTCCAAGGGTCCAGGAAATAATAATAATTGTTGAACAGCAGTTTACAATACACAGGTAATGGCGTTAAATGTTTTTCAGTGTTTCTATCTAGGTAGTTGCAAAATATAAATTTTTTACGATCATAAAGTTGGAGTATCTTTCATTACATAAAAAGAGGAGAATGCCGCCGAATGCATTGTAATTTAAGTTCAGAGCGCCATAAAAAATTTATGCGGATTAAATAAAATAGAACAGAATAAAATTAAATCAAGTTTGAGTTTATGTTTCGACCTAGAAATACAAAGTGTTCATTTCAGTTTTATGTGTATACATTAAGTGTACAATCTGCATACTGTAAACCTTAAATTATTTCACCTGTGCCACCTCGTTCAACATAAAAAAACTACTTCGAATTTGTTTATGTAGTTTTCTAACTTGAGTTACTTTTAATTTCGGTCGTTTTATCAAATAAATGCATATCATCGATAGTAGACGTATTTTTAGTAGGTACCTTAAATAGAATAGAGCCGCGGGCTCTTCTTTTATGTCACTTATATAATCTGTGTTCTTTTTTTAAATTCTAATTAACCTCAAACTGCTTTGCCAACTAGGTACATTTATAAAATTCTGTTAAACTTCTAAAGTAGTTATAATTAATTATTTGGCTTTGAATTATTTTTGAAGCTGTAAATGAAAGATGCTAGGTACAGCAAAACTTTCAAAGCCAAAAATTACGTTATTTTACAAAATATTAAACTGTTTAATTCTTCTAATTGTTGCACTATAGATAAATATGTAATTTAACGAATTCTATTGTTTTTTTTTCTCGTATAGAATATGTGCATTTCGCAAATTGTGTATAATTTAACTGCTATAACGGGCAAATTGCGTCATTAGTGTTGTGTTTAATTTGTGTGATAATTAGTAAATACAGTAAATTGAAGAGGACGTTGTAATTTAAATATACCATCTACTATTTAAGATAGATGTATTTTCAAATTTTCCATTATACGGTCTGTTGTATTGCTGGAGATAATGGGAAGTTTATACAAAATCTAAAAAAAAAAAATGATATCCTCTGTGAAGGTAAGATGGTAAAGATGGACAGTATAGGTAGGTAGTTTAAGAAATGAGACTTCTGCCGTTGCCTTATTTTTATTACGTCAATAAATTTCTAAAATCCCAAATAACTTCGTACCGAAGGAATTAAACTATAAAGTTACTTAATATTAGAGTATTGTATGAAAGTAGCTACAATTTTTATAGTTTTTGTTTTATCTTTTTCTTTTCATACATATATTATCTTACCTGGTAACGATTACAAGTTGTAATAAATAAATAATAGACGGTGTCATATTTTTTCATAAATTTCAGATGCATAGGGTAAAGATCTGAATTGATTGAATGGTTTAACAATCAATTAATTCGATTTGCATAACCGTTGTCTTTAAATAAGTATTAGTCTGTCGATAATTGAAATTGAAATATTCTTCGTAAGTAAACTTCCTTGGCAATAATTTCATTTATTTCCAGGAACTTTGGAGAGGGAGAATTTAATTTAACTTGAAATGGTTTTAGCAAAATTTACGAAACCAGATGTTTGTGTGTAGATACCGGAAATTGTTCGTTCATTCACTAATGAAACCATGTTTCCTTTCTCTAGCTTTTTTCCTCTCCGGCGAACCATAGTTTGAGAAAGCTTTAGTATCTACCACAAAACCTAATTTATAGCAAAATAATTCTTTTTACTCCGTTTATTTACTTACTGAAATACAGGCCCCTAGTTTGATACGTATAATACAAATTAAGTTTTTAATGCGTTACACTAAAACACGAACTGTCTCCCGACATCACATTATCTCCCTTTTTTAATAAATGCAATTTAAAGGTTCTTTAAAAAAAATTGTGAGTTCAATTAGTTTGGGATAGGCATAGGTCATTCATTTGAGCACTTTTACCTGCCAAATATCGTATACCTGCAGGGGTTCTCTTAACTTATCTTTCAGTTGTAATGTGTAGTTTCTATGTTCTGCGAAAATTTTACCTGAATGAGAAGTACATAATTTATATATTTTCACAATATACCTCTATATATTTAGTTAAGGTACTGATGGATTGAAAAAACTACCTAAATGGTGTTGCTGCTACTAAAAGTAATTATGACACTAGGCATTTACAGAAAAACGATTTTTAGGAAAAATAAGATCGTTTCTAAAGTACGGATATTATCAAAAGTATAGCAAATATTGTAATTTGTCTTAAAACGTCTGTTCATCAACAGAAAGTAATTTTACACATTTACCATAAAATGAAAATTGACAACAGTTTTTATTACTTACAGTCAACAATAATTAGTAGTGTGTTATCGAAAATCATTTGAACAACTGACAATGAGATGACCCCAATCAAAATCACAGATAATTAAAAAAAAAACTTGTTTATTGTAAATGCTCATCTTTATATTTCATGCTCGTTTTAAAAAACGCGTAGGTACTTATTCCGATAAAAGTTATNCAGTCTGTCCATGTTTATTTTATCTGCATTGCAATTTCTACTATTGAAAACAGTTTATATCTTCCCCAACTGATTGTGTATATTCCCTTGAAACGGAGTTAAATGTAAAATTATTTTGTATTGTTATTATTATTTTGACCTATTAAATTTACGTAAACACAGTGTTGGAATACAAAGCGTTTATAAATCGGACACGATTGTATCTATTATTGCTATGGAATAATAGTATTTAATTGCAATATTTTCGTAGAAATTTTTTTCATATTTTTTAAACGGAATTTAATCATACCTACTTGGTTACAGTCATACCAAGAAATGACGTCAAATATTGGTCATACAGCAATAATTTAATAATGAGTTTTAAATTAACTGTGCAATTTTGTCATTTTTTTTTGCATTTGCAAAACTTATTTCCTGTATACATATTATCTGCTAATAAATCTGTATTTATCTAGATAAATAACAGAAGTGTATCAAAAATTTAAGGATTTGTTAGCATGTCTTTTTTTAAAGGGTAATGTGGTATAGCTTACGACTTTTAAGGTGCTAAAACAAAATAAAAAAAAAAGAGAAAACCCTCGTCTAATACCTACCTCACTGATGCGAAAATAACTCCTTTGTCGATATTATATACCCAGATTTAAGGTGTAGGAAAATAAAATTCTGCAACCCCTTTAATATTTATGTTACATCCCTTTTATGGCGTGTTCAGAAATGTAGCCAGTATAAATAACTTCAGAGGGTGCGCCAGTCGTTGCGAGCAAACTTAATTTTCATTGAATTAACTAATGACTTTTTTTTTTGAAAATTGCCTTGCCTCTTTGATTACAGGTTTAATGTATAACATAAACGACGAAAGACGAAATGAAACGAAAAAGAGATTGATTATTTAGTTTTTACTTTATTTCTCTTTTACAAAAAAGTGTGAAAGTGATACACCTGTATCGTACCTATACTTATAAATTTCCTTTAGCCTATTACGTAAGTTAGCAATATATGTATACATATATAGGTAGTGTTTCGTGTAAAAAGCAGTTTCAAACTGGAAATGTAAACTTGTTTAAACTGGCTAAGGGCTAAAAGGAGGGGCAAGAATGTACAGGAGGTAATTTCATTAAAACAAATTCACATGTTGACCTAAAAAATACACGTATAGGAAATACATTACAGAATTTGTATTGCCTTCAATTAATTGTTTTATTATGTAAGAACCTTTACTTGGGGTTACATCCCTATTTTATTGGGTACCTGTAATTTACAAACGCTGTTGTTTTACTTTCGGCAGTTTAATAGTGATATTGTTTTTTTGCATGTAGGTAGGTATAAAGCATTTCCCTCGAGGTAGCTCATTTTACTGAAGTTATTTATGTTCCACATGGGGCCGCTCAGAAAATAATGCTATCTATAAACATGCATGTACATTACATACACATATAGGTATATACATATAACAAAAATTATAGGTCCTGTAGCTTCTTTATCATAACTTCAATAAAATTCATTCCTAACTTTGATTGCTCTCTACACGTCGGCGGCAAAGGGTATTTTTAGTAGAGTAACAAAAAACGCAATAAAGCAAAAAATGCTGCACTGCCCAATTTTGTGTATCTAATAAAAGTAGCCATTGTCGAATTGGTAATAAAAAAGATACCTACACGCTAAATTAAATAAACAAATGGATTAGTCGGTTTTTTCTTTTTTTTTATGATAAAGTAGATATATCTAAGATACCTACTTATATCGAGTTAATAATTTAATGTTTTAAATAAGAGCCACTACGTTTTATCTGTAAATAAAATGCGTTGTTTGGGGTACCGAAAAAATTAATGGTTAACTTTTGGCGAGAGAGTTATACCTAATTAAGGAAGTTATGTGTAGTGATAATTATTTTTCATTAAAAGATACGGTCTACTTTTAATAATCTTGTTAATGAAAGTTAAAACTAAAATTTCGAAATCCTAATTACAAGTCGTTAGAATGCGAAATGAATAACACGTTTACAAACTCTAAGCTTTCTTCGTTTTATACGTGCAGACAATAACAAAAACTCAAAATTGAACAATGTAAACTTAAAGTAATATAACTACAATTCTGATTAAAAAAAAAATGTGAAATGCTAATACAGGAAATCTACAACCGCAGTGCAATTTGTGGTTATTTAAAATATTGTGTAAAATACAATCATTTAATACATTTAATAAAAGGAGGGTTAAAACAAAGGTCAACATCTTTAATGGCTCGTAGAGAAATAAAATTTTACAATTCTTTCGACTAACTTTTTAAACCATTGTATTTCACATTGTTTTAAGCATGCATTGTTAAAATGGTTATGTAACAATTATTGTGGGACTATTTATGTATTTATTATAGTGAAGAAAATAATAAGTATTGTGTGCATACCCATGTATAGGAAGTATTATGACAATGTTATTTTTGAAAAGGTATGAATGAAATTAAATATTTGCGCTATAGTAATTGTAAAATAATTACGTATCTATGACGAAAAGTTTATTTATGTACTAATATAGAGTGTATATAGATACATATAATATATAATATGTTTTCATTGACCCAAAAAACGGCCTAACCTTGCAAATAGTTCTTTCTGTATATTGATTCGTCTAATGGAATTCTTTATGACAATGTCTTTCTAGCCTTTCTGCCTTTTATTTCTACATTCTACGACATAAATATGTATTGGCGGTGAAAGCGAGCCCTAAAATCCGATCGATATAGTTGGGTTAGGGTTGCTCTATGCCCTCGAGCGTCGAGTTCCTAGTAAAGCGGATTTCGGTATTCGTCCTTAAGCCATGTTTTGTGGCACATAAGGAATCCTCACTTATTAACAGTTAATAACTAGTTAAATACTTCAAATCTGCTAAAGGTATGGCTTTGGACAGAATCTTACGTATGTGAAACAAACAAGATCTATCTCTAAAATGCCTTCTCTAATACATACTTTACTTTTCAAACTCTATTAAATTTGAAATTTCTAAGATTTCAATTTGTTTCGTAGACTTTTTTTTTATTATAATGAGATTCATATAAATTTTTGTTTTAGAAAAATGAAAAGGAAGTTTAAATTATATATAATACAAATTTTACTGTTAATTTAAATGATAACCAAGCACTGTTAATTATTCGGCCTGTAAAAAAAAACGATATTTCAAGGGAATAAAATGGTGCCATTGGGATTTGTTATATCTGTAGGAAGTAACACATTGTAATGAATCGTTTCAAAGTTAGTGACGTTGTTGAAAATTCGCCAAGTTTTGTTTTAGTGTTCTGCTTTTTGACTAACTTTACCATTNAAGGTGGTGGCCCATACGGTTCAACTACTTACGTCCTGATCTATACAATAAACATGCATGTACATATGTATCCATATAATAGTGCTAATTAAACTTGGATTTCTTTAAATAGATTAGATCCGTGTAGTGACCTTTGAGTTACGGTCGGCTCTAATTGAATTATTTCCGTTTGTGTTATTTGTTGTTTGACTCATCGAGGTGTAAAGCATGTGCATTCATGAAATACATAATACATATAACTGTAATATTATATTTCTTGACAGATATAGACTCGACGATATGACGTTATCAAGTAATCTTTCTCAATCTAATGCTACCGTTCGGCTAATTAATGACATGCTAAAGACTAAGAGAAACGTGTAATTATGTAATAAACTAGTAACAACTACGTGTACGTAGTACAATAACTGCGAAATAGCAGTGGGACGATGCCACAAAACTTACAAAAATAGGTGTGAGCTAATAAGCTGTTTTATGTCTGTAATTATTAAGTTAAATCCGGTTATCAATTCTATGTGAAGTATGGATTTATGTAAAAGTGTTTTAATGTGTTTTTAAAAAAATTAAATGCCTTTTTGTTTCACAATTTTTATTCGTAGGTAAATTTAAAAATAATGGTATTTTAATGTGTTTTTAAAAATATTAATGTATACACATAATACGCCCTATAAGTTTCCTTCAATAAAATCAACATTACGAAAAATGTTGATTAAATAAATATTTTTAGATCAATTTCACGGCAGTCCACAACGTCTATATACACATTGACTGTTTATGTAAATAATTCTCTAACATTTTGTGTATATAGTTACTCATTTCAGCAGTAACCATTATATGTTTGTACTATACAGAAGAAATTCACTGCCAGTGAGGTCAAGGACAAGGCTGCTGGTGTTATTCATATAGCGACTACAAATCAAAAAATTGTTAAAATCCTGTTATCTCAAATCTAAGTAATTAAATATTTTAAAAGCTGATCTAATAATTAAAATTAAATTTGCAGTCAAATAAATACGAAAACTATAAATTGTTTGTCAATCTTAAAATAGATGTGTTGAAAAAAATGTTCATTTAATAAACGGTTATTCAACTGATTAACCTAATTAACATATATATATATATATATAGGTACATTTATACACATATACATCATTTTAACAAGAATTGTTTTTCTAAATTGACTTAGGTGTTCTTGAGACACTTTTACTACCATAATTGCTCACCCAGTTGACATAACAGGATTTATAAAAAGATACTTTTTATTTATCAAGTTTTATAAGTATATTAAGTACTTACATCTTTTTTTTTTGTTTTAAATGTGATGGTTTCGGCAAATACAATTTCAATTTTAATTTATCGATTGGATTGCCATTATAAAAATCCACCACCACCCTGCCTGCCGCGCCTGATGTTTTATTTAACAGAATGGAATAATTTTGTAATTTATAAGCAATCAGTTTTATAAAAAATTGCGTGACCAACATACGACACCATAATTTCAACCTCGTAATCGGTTGAATGAATCATTAATTAGTGACGTAATTAATCGCTGTGTGATTAAGTAAGATTAAATTGAAGATTCAGAAATAAAAAAATCGACGTAAGAATTTTCTTGAACTAAATGGGGTCTTTATGTAAACGATTTTTCATTAGGTTCTTCATTTTGGGTTAGGCTAGGTTAGGTTACGTTACAATAGACTAGCTTATATTATGAAAAAAATATACCTGTCGGGGCTTATTTATTTTTGAATAAATTATATTAGTACCCACACGAAATTTTTTGTTGATAACTGATTTTACATTAGCAGAAAATAACAAAAATTTCTCCCTGAAAATAAATAGAAGTGGCCGCGCGTACCTTTTTATTGAGATACCTTTTGTGAATTTGTTTACAGTTGGTTCTATAAAATAAGAAACTACAAATTAAATTTTTCTTAGATGTAAATAAAGAGATCAAAAAGAAAAGAAAATAAAAATGTTTTATCTCTTCTGTTGCAGCTATAGCTGAAAGATGGCTACGATAGACGGACGGCCTGCTCAATATGGGATCTCCCTCAAGCAAATGCGTGACCTCATGGAACACCGAGGTCGTGAGGGAGTCAACAAAATCAAAGACTTGGGTGGAATACAAGAACTTTGTAAAAAGCTCTACACGTCACCCAATGAAGGTAATTTATTTTAATAGTTCTTTTGCGGATTCAGTATCCAAATATCCAGAAGCACACAAAATTTGCAAATTTAAGTTTCTGCCTTTTTATATTCTCTGTTTTGTAAAATAAATGCAAATTGGTAAAAGGTTGTTACGTAGTCTATTTAAGACTTATTAACATGGAAATTAATTAATATACATTAGTAAAAAAATCCGCTCTCTTCCTTTTTGGAGTATTTTAAACTATTACTAGTAAACCATAAAATTATCTCTAACACTCTTAGTCACCTGTTTTACCACTGGTGTTAATCTTTAAACCCTTTGTTTGTTTTTATTTACTTATAAATTAGATTCACAATACACCAATTAATTTTTGAGCAATTTAAGTTATCCTTTATTAAACTTTATTGTAGGTATGTTAACGGTAAAAGTAAATAAATAACGTCAATAAAGAAACAGAATAGAAATAGTCACGTACTGACATAAATTATCATTTAGAAAGATATTTAGCGGGGTTATATTTATGTATCAAAACCATTTTCTGGTCTTTGACGTCAATGCGTTACATTATTATCTTGACACGTAAGGTTTAAGAAATAAAAAGATTAGGTATCTTTACGTAAAAATTAATTAAATAAATATTTTCGTGCAGGTATATTTCCGAAAAAGAAACTAAAACCCTTTTCCATTCTACCTATTAATTTTTTGCCATTATGTACTTGAGGATTATTTAATTTATTTTCTTAGTTTGGACATGTCGAAAATGTTTCAGGTAACAGACAAGCCCGGAAGTTATGTTAGTATATAGATTAGGTAAATGTGTGTTGTATTTGTATTTTAAAATCATTGATACCTAAAATTGTGCTATTTTTTGTATACCTTCGAAAAAGATTAAATTTTATTTGTTAAACATTTCTAAAAAAATCTATTTTTGTGTGCTTATATTTGAATTCTTAAATCGTGGTTGGTGGTTAGTTTGCTTATCATTATTTTGTGGAGTAGGTACGTGATATCGTTAAATTGCTGTCAGCAACGTGTGTACGGAAAATAACACTAAAGTAAAGTTTTAATCATCGTTCTAACAAAAAGAGAAAAATAGGAGAGCGACCTTTAGAGAAATGGCAAAAAGCAAAGGTAGTTCTGTGTATATAAGTATACATTTTATATACATATCTACATCGCATTTTATACCTAGAAAGAATCATCCATCGAAGCAATGAATTTCGGACCAGCCCACTTTTTTTTATTATCAATCAACTCTGACCTTTTAAATCTGATAATTTTGCCGATAAATACTTATTTCTTAGAATTGCGATATTTTTTATTACAAGATAAATAGGTAGAGTATTAAGTAAGTTATTTTGCAATTCAAAAAAAAAGTTTCACCTTTTATTGTTATTTGATATTTATCGAGTTACTGCTGTAGGTATTGTTTGTTTTATTAAACCTATATCTGTTTGTGAGTTTTTTGTTTTCTATAAAACTTAGCAATAATGTATATACTTAATACTTAAAAGATAATTCATTCTTCAGAAAAATAATAAAACAGAAATTGGAAACAAATCAGATTCTTCAGAATTCTTGGTTTTCCAAAAATTACAAAAAAATGGTAGAAATATCCTAGTAGTAGATAGAAAATCCAAACTATAAGTAGGTACTGAATGCGAAAAAAATTTCGTTTCCATGGTAAATAAGTAACGGAAATCGACATTCCCCAATATTAACAACTCTCAAAACAGTAGTAAAAATTTCGTTAATAATAGGCTAGAGTTAATAATATGTACTGTTACCTCTAGAAAGAAGGTTTATTTTGAATTACTACAAACGACGTGGTAAATGCCATCTGACTTTAAGTGGAATTCAAAAATTTTCAACAAGGTCCATAAGGATATCGACTTGCCGATCTTTTCAATTCCACTAAAGGTACTCTTAAACATGTGGGCTGTTTAGAATCTGACTAAAATTTATCTTGTGTATGGGAGAAAAAGAATGGAAGGTCTTGTTTTTCCCCTACAACGACGGTGGGTGCTCTAAAATGATTGGTTATTGCATTGCTTATATGTACTGTACATAGTTGCTTTATTATCCAATTACAAAATTAGAATGTAAATATATAGTCATAGCAGTAACGAATAGAAAAGGTAAGGGGAAGTAACAGGTTCTTGAGCCAATAAAAATAAACTAAGATATTGGATTGGCAGTTAACCAATAACTGTCCCAAAAAATCCCCCCAAACAGCATATCTTGTGTAATCGTTTATGTACTTTACAGACACCAATAAGGTAATAAGAGTGAAATAGACATACAGTGAAAAGAGTATACAGAAATTAAAGTTATATACATATATATATATGCTAACCAATTGGAATTTCTGAATAAGAAAGGACTCATATGTATCTAGTACGTAATTGCGACAAATATTGCATAAAAGATTCGGGGGTTCCCCTTTCAGGTATTAGGTTTATGCAGTGTTGCCAAGTAGATGATTTTTTTAAATAATTCAAAGCATTTATAATATTCCGTTTTCAAGTAGTTACAAAGGGTTCTGATATGTGGGTAGATGTTAGGTATTAGTTAGTTTATTGTTTAAGTAATGTGTAGGTATTAATTTTCGAAATTCCGTTTCCTTTAACGCGAATATTTCGGATGCAGCCAATTCCTAAGTTTTCAGTGTTCTCATATGATAGTTGACGAAGTATGTAGGCATTTACATATTACACAAAACGGGAAGATCGTAACGATAAACTCTATACTACCTACCTACGCAATTTTCCGAATTATTACTCATGGCTATTGACAAAGTTTTCGATTAGGTCCGAAAATTCAATTATATTGATAATCGGAATATTAAAAAAAAAATTTGAAAGAATAAAATATTCGAATGAGAAATAATTTGATTGATTGATAGTTTTTCTCTCGGTGGCCTTGCTGACACCCTACAACCCATAACAGACTTCCTATTTATCTTTTGAAGTATAATATTTTCTATAACTAAAATCAGAGTAATATAAGGGCAAAAAATATAGGAAAAACGAATGTTACCCTGTTTTTCTTATGATGATATTCAAAAAGAAAGAGATCAGGATCGGTCACCCACTTGAATTTTAAAACTTAGTTAAATTGGTTGCGTTGTTGTACGAGGTCTGCCACAGAAGTACATTGTCGTTCCAAAAAGTTTGATTATTTAAATTAAAAAAAAAAATGCTTAATCTCTGCTAGGTCTCAGCGGGTCCCAGGCAGATTTAGATCATCGGAGAGAAGTTTTTGGCTCAAATTCAATTCCGCCTAAACCCCCAAAGACTTTTCTACAATTAGTATGGGAGGCTCTACAGGATATCACTCTCATTATTCTTGAAGTAGCTGCCATAGTGTCCTTAGCCCTTTCATTTTATCATCCAGCCGCCGAAGAAGATGAATCTATTCGTGAGTTATTATCTTTTTTCGTTATCATTCAAGTGTTACTTAATTAACACGTGCCTTTGCAGCTTTTGACGACGATGAAACAAGTCACGGGTGGATTGAAGGGTTGGCAATTTTAATATCGGTTATCGTGGTAGTTCTCGTGACAGCATTCAATGATTACACCAAAGAGCGACAGTTTCGTGGTTTACAAAGTCGAATTGAGGGCGAGCACAAATTCGCCGTCATTCGACACGCCGAAGTAATTCAGATTCCTGTGAGCGAAATAGTTGTTGGTGATATTTGCCAGATAAAGTACGGAGATCTGCTCCCTGCGGATGGCATTTTAATACAATCAAATGACTTAAAGGTAAGTTCCCCGAAAACGATGCAGTTTCGTCCTTAATATTGTATGCATGTTCGATTCAGCTTTGGCCCTTATTTNAAACTTAGTTAAATTGGTTGCGTTGTTGTACGAGGTCTGCCACAGAAGTACATTGTCGTTCCAAAAAGTTTGATTATTTAAATTAAAAAAAAAAATGCTTAATCTCTGCTAGGTCTCAGCGGGTCCCAGGCAGATTTAGATCATCGGAGAGAAGTTTTTGGCTCAAATTCAATTCCGCCTAAACCCCCAAAGACTTTTCTACAATTAGTATGGGAGGCTCTACAGGATATCACTCTCATTATTCTTGAAGTAGCTGCCATAGTGTCCTTAGCCCTTTCATTTTATCATCCAGCCGCCGAAGAAGATGAATCTATTCGTGAGTTATTATCTTTTTTCGTTATCATTCAAGTGTTACTTAATTAACACGTGCCTTTGCAGCTTTTGACGACGATGAAACAAGTCACGGGTGGATTGAAGGGTTGGCAATTTTAATATCGGTTATCGTGGTAGTTCTCGTGACAGCATTCAATGATTACACCAAAGAGCGACAGTTTCGTGGTTTACAAAGTCGAATTGAGGGCGAGCACAAATTCGCCGTCATTCGACACGCCGAAGTAATTCAGATTCCTGTGAGCGAAATAGTTGTTGGTGATATTTGCCAGATAAAGTACGGAGATCTGCTCCCTGCGGATGGCATTTTAATACAATCAAATGACTTAAAGGTAAGTTCCTCGAAAACGATGCAGTTTCGTCCTTAATATTGTATGCATGTTCGATTCAGCTTTGGCCCTTATTTTATGAAATAATAATTATAAACATTCTTTCCTTGTCATTTACTAGTTATACTTTTATTCATACAAACCGTTGCATCAGTGCCATAACATTTGCTTAAAGTCAAAACGAGTGGGTTAGGTTGGTTTAAAAATGTATCTTCTTATATATTTTTTGTTGTGCGTGATAGGTTGATGAGTCATCACTGACTGGAGAGTCAGATCATGTAAAGAAAGGCGAATCTTTCGATCCGATGGTGCTTTCCGGTACGCATGTGATGGAAGGTTCGGGAAAAATGCTAGTCACCGCAGTGGGAGTCAATTCTCAAGCTGGTATTATTTTCACCCTATTGGGTGCAGCAGTGGACCAACAGGAAGCGGAAATAAAGAAAATGAAAAAAGGTACGATCAAAGCGATTTCGTCCGGCATGTATTCGTACAATGTTGTGCCCCCCTTTTCTCATTATGAAACGTTATATTATAGTCAGTATTGTGTCTCTTACCAAACCCCCCCCCCTGCAATAAATTTTTTAGATATGTCTCTTTGCACTTATCTATGGTTAGTTGAATAATTGAACAGACCTGAAAATATCCACAATTTAAAACAAACCACAATATTTAATAAAATAAATTTGTTGTCCCGTTGTTGCTGCCGATTTGCAGAAGCGTTTTTACCAATTGAGATATTAGTTGCGAAAAATTAAAAGTAAAAATAACTAGTCGTTTTTGCAAATCGGCTCTGTTATAAATTTGCCCATATCAGGACTTGGGTGTGACTTTTTGATAGCTAATGTTCTCCTTTTGCATGTGTTTTTGTACAGAAGCTAAAAAGCAACGGAAGAAGAAAAGCTCGACAGGTGAATTTTTTACTTTTATTATTATTATTAATGTTACATTAACACTAAGTGTGACCCCCACTAACAAAGCAACCCCGAATAACCGCTTCACCCTAAGTTAGGAATTTGCCAATGCATGCCATGGGGATCCGAAAATAAAAAAAAAAATGTTATACATGTATAAGTATATGTATAAAATATATACATATACATACGGGTTGAAATCGTTTGTTTTTTTTTTAAAGCAAATTCCTGACTAAATGCACACTAAACCAAGTAAAAATTGTAGACGATATCCAGTTACGATTAGAATTTGGCTTGCTTGTAAGCTCGATCGTATATACAATCAATATGGAAATAATTAATTCACTGCTTAAATATGTGTATTAATAATATTAGGTGATGATGAAGGAGCTGTAACTGGAAACAGTCATGTCAACTCCCCTGCGCCCCCCGTTTCGAATAAAATCGATGCAGTTCCCGAAACAGGAGAAAATCACGTACAGTCGTCATCCCCAGCAGCGGAAAGTCATAAAAAGGAGAAGTCGGTACTTCAAGCGAAACTTACGAAGCTTGCCATACAAATCGGTTATGCAGGCTCCACAATAGCTGTTCTTACTGTTCTTATTTTGATTACTCAGTTCTGCGTGAAAACGTTTTTTATCGATGGCAAGGGTTGGAAGAACACCTATGCTAATTATCTGGTCAAGCACCTTATCATCGGTGTAACTGTTTTGGTGGTCGCTGTTCCTGAAGGATTACCTCTTGCTGTTACTCTCTCTTTAGCTTATAGCGTTAAGGTACGGAATAAACAGCAGCAATCTCTCATCCCAAATTATTAATAACCTTGTCATTTTTCATCTATAGAAAATGATGAAAGACAACAATTTAGTGAGACATTTGGATGCTTGTGAAACGATGGGTAATGCTACAGCTATCTGCTCAGATAAGACGGGCACGCTAACAACAAACAGGATGACAGTCGTTCAATCGTATATTTGCGAACAACTTTGCAAAACTATGCCTAAATTCTCCGATATACCAGCACATGTTGGAAATCTCATAATAGAAGGAATCTCTGTAAATTCAGCTTTCACTTCGCGTATTATGGTAAAAAAATGTGTACACCCATATCTTTCCGTCGTTTATACTTACCTTCCAAATCATTATTTTAGCCTTCAGAAGATCCCACAGAACTACCAAAACAAGTTGGCAATAAGACTGAATGTTCATTGTTAGGTTTTGTATTAGGTCTAGGAAAAAGTTATCAGACAGTACGTGACGACCATCCTGAAGAATCGTTTGTACGAGTTTATACGTTTAACTCCGTGAGAAAGTCGATGAGTACTGTAATACCTAGACCGGGTGGCGGTTACAGGTTATATACGAAAGGTGCTTCTGAAATGATACTAAACAAGTGAGTTCTTAAATCTTTCAAGCAGTATCACTTGTACCTCTTTATCGTATTTGTTCTCTATTGGGAAACGTGTTACGTTCCAGGTGTGCCTTTATTTACGGTCACGATGGCCGTTTGGAAAAATTCACCAGAGATATGCAAGAACGTCTATTGCGACAAGTAATTGAGCCGATGGCTTGTGACGGTTTACGTACAATAGCTATTGCATATCGCGACTTTGTTCCTGGTAAGGCGGAGATAAACCAAGTTCATTCGGAAACAGAGCCTAACTGGGACGATGAAGCAAACATTGTTAACAACTTGACCTGCCTTTGCGTTGTTGGTATAGAAGATCCGGTAAGACCTGAAGTGCCAGACGCTATCAGAAAATGTCAAAGGGCTGGTATCACGGTTAGAATGGTCACTGGAGATAATATTAATACAGCACGTTCGATTGCCACAAAATGTGGTATTCTAAAACCGAACGAAGACTTCCTTATTCTTGAAGGCAAAGAGTTTAACAGAAGGATTAGGGACGCTAATGGAGAAGTAAGTTAGAAATTGAAGATTACATATCGTAACTATTATGACATGTTGTTATCTCTTGTAGGTTCAGCAACATCTGATAGACAAAGTGTGGCCTAAACTGCGCGTACTTGCGCGCTCTTCTCCTACTGACAAGTACACATTGGTGAAAGGTATCATTGACAGTAAGATTAGTGAACAGAGGGAAGTAGTTGCGGTCACTGGAGATGGTACAAACGACGGCCCAGCTTTGAAAAAGGCCGACGTCGGATTCGCTATGGTATATTCCTTTCAAAAATAAATTCCAGTCAGTTCAATTTACACGTTGTTGTTTGTTTTTAGGGTATTGCCGGAACTGATGTTGCTAAAGAAGCGTCTGATATTATTTTGACCGACGACAACTTCAGTAGCATTGTTAAAGCTGTCCTGTGGGGCAGAAACGTGTACGATAGCATTGCTAAATTTTTGCAGTTCCAACTTACCGTAAATGTTGTTGCTGTTATTGTAGCTTTTATTGGTGCCTGTGCTGTTCAAGACAGTCCTCTGAAGGTAAATTATATGAAAGAGGAGAATGCTGTTAATAATACAAAAACAACCTATTTCGTAGGCTGTCCAAATGTTATGGGTCAATTTGATTATGGACACCTTGGCCTCATTAGCATTGGCTACAGAACTTCCAACACCAGATCTATTATTAAGAAAACCATATGGAAGAACGAAGCCGTTGATATCTAGGACCATGATGAAAAATATATTAGGACAAGCTGTTTACCAGCTAACTGTTATATTTTCTTTGTTATTTGTTGGTAAGAATACGCCATTTAATTGATTTTCGTTTAGTTTTTTAATATTACATCTTGACAGGTGACAAGATGTTGGATATTGAGTCAGGTCGCGGAGCCCCTATTGGTGCTGGTCCAACGCAGCACTTCACTGTTATTTTCAATTCATTTGTTATGATGACACTTTTTAACGAGTTCAACGCTCGGAAAATTCACGGACAAAGGAACGTTTTTGAAGGAGTTTTTACGAACCCGATCTTCTACAGTATATGGTTGGGAACTTGTGCTGCACAGGTACTTCTTTTGTTCTGTTTATTCCATTGATTCTTAACAAGTTAATTTTATGTAAAATCATTACTTTTACATAAATGGGTGTTCATATCTTTAATCAAAATTAGGTAGTAATTGTGCAATATGGAAAAATGGCATTCTCAACAAGAAGTTTGACCCTGGAACAATGGCTCTGGTGTCTGTTCTTTGGTTTTGGAACACTACTTTGGGGCCAGGTTGTGACAACTATACCAACTAGGAAAATACCTAAGATACTATCGTAAGTAATCGGAGGTTTTTTTTCGCAGTTAAATATTGAATTTATAATGCTCTTCTTTCTTTGCGTTATAAAGATGGGGCCGTGGTCATCCAGAAGAGTATACCGAAGCCATTAACATCGGCGAAGAGAAGTTCGATTTGGATTCAGATAAGAAACCAAGGGCGGGACAAATTCTTTGGATTAGGGGTTTGACTAGATTACAGACACAAGTAAGTGCGTGTATAGTATTGCTACGTACGCAATGTGAATTTATACATATGTTGCACTCCTCAATAGGAGGTTTATTAAATCGATAGGCCTTAAAATGAGGAGTGCTTATGTAGTATGTAAATGAGTGATTGATGAACAGAGCTCGGAAAATAGGATTTTTTAGGTAGTAAGATCAAAAAAAGTTGAGGCTTCCCTTTCCCTGCCACTCCCGTTAATTCCATTAAAATAAGTGTTAGTGTTAAAGCATGATGCATTATTTGTGATTCAATTTGATAGCTCGATATTGGGTTATCAGATGCGCTTTTGTTGTCACTGTTACTGATAGCTTAAATAATTAAAAAGTAACTGTGTTTGTTCTTAACTGAATTCGGTTGTAGATTTTAATAGATGTATTTGTTAGTTAACTATAGAGGAACACACCGTCCTCGACAACAAAAACAAAACGTATTTTTTCTACACGAGTTGGTGATACTTTAAACGATACATATCTTTTAGCTTATTATATTATATTGTTAAGAAAATAACTGGTGATGGAGCTTTGGCAATTTCACTTGTTCTAGTCTGCCGTCTCCGATTATTTATTAATTTACGCATGCTTAACATATTTCTTGAAATACCACTTTTCGTTGCGTGCTTTATAAGAACTTTAAGGTATTCAACAGGCAGTAGTAACGATAACGAAGCATAGCAGTTTAGTTGCTGTGCATGCCATGCGGTTTTCGTCCGTGCTCGAGCCCCAAGTTGGCTGTGTTGTCTCAAGTTGCACCACCCACCATCACACCTTTGGGTTTCTTATGATACGACTATTATGGATCTTCTCCATAGAATCAACAGTAAAACAAACCATTTCTAACTACTTTCCTACTTGTACACATATGTATACCACACTCATCATCAGTGTTAACGTCTTTTGTGTTGTTTATTATACAAGAACACCATAATGTATTCGTAACCAGGAGAAAAGAAAGGAAGAAGTTAGTTGAAAGTTGTAGTATCTAGTTCCATAGAAGGTGTGAAGAGCCCAAAGAGGCGAATAAAAAAACGCAAAGTCGTAGTTGACGATGAATCGAGCCAGCTGTAGTTTGAAATATTACAGTACTGGACGTTTTTAATGTTGATTTATTTGTTAGCCGGCAGAACCGATGAGAGAAACTGAGGTATAGGATCACTGTGGGTGTCCCCAGCAATACCTGTCGCAGTATAAACAAGTACGTAGCTTGCAGTAGGCCATGCTTTGAGATGCCGTTTTTGCTGTCTTGCACTTGTAGTTACTGTGTAGACATTTTCCTGGTGTCGCCCCGCTGCTCGCCAGCGGCCGAAAACTTTCTGTAACACGTCTTGTGCTTCCGCGACAACACAGCCAAATTGATCGTTTTCGTTAACACCAAAGCAATCTTCGACGCAATCTCAATCTCTCTGTACATCAACGACAGACACGTACCATCGTTCACAACACTTTGGGGGAAGTCCTGCGCACATAATATTCCCTATGATAAGCATGGAACGTATCATCATTTGTTTATCAAAATTTTTACTTTTGAACGTCTCACAAACCTGTATAATAAGCTACTACAAATAAATGGGAGGCTAGTGAAGAACGTTCATGGAAAGTAAGAGAGATTCTACGTTAGTTATCAGATCATTGTTTTATCCTTTTACCAGTAATGGGTAAGAGAAGATTGCTTATTTAAAAAAGGAATTTATTGAGATAATGTGTCAATTTTCGGTTGTGCATCGTTTAAGTAATAGGTTTGTATCATTATATTTATGAACAAACGTCGATTTATAAAAAAATAAAACTTCACTATGAACCAGCCCAGGTGAGACTTAGTAAGTTGCTATCATCATCTTCGTTTTAACGCGTTTTTTTTTATCATTAGACTTCTTTGCCTTGATAACACAAAAACTAACAATTTAATGTATTTGTAGTATAAGTGGAGTTACAATATCATCGTGAACGTGGCTTCAGACTTCTGCTTGCAATGGTTACACTGTGCTTTATCGGATCCTAAAATGTCTTTAACTTCATTTTTCATTTTTCAGTTAATTATGATCGTTTCATGTTGTTTAACGTTAAAATTACTCGGTGATTTATTCACATCTAGTGACTACATACATTGTCACACGCATCATCATAGAACGTCTGCTTCAAAGAAATGTATGTTAGAAAAACTATTAATAAATTTGATGCAGACGTTTTCTCTACCTTCATGTAACATACTCATGTAACGTCTACCAGGTGTGTACATAGGATTTTAAAATATCACCAGCCAGTTGAAGGACGTGTGTGAACCATGAATCTATTTACTGGATCATCCTTGGTTTATTAAATATTGTCAGTATTCAAATCAAAATTAAGCCGAAAAAAATGTCTTCACTGGTTGTTCTGTTAAAGTATACCTACTAGAAAATAGCCATGATTTAAAAAGCAAACCAACATTTGCATAAAGCTAATTTCATTTAACAATAGAAGCCATTTGATATGACCCAAAGCACGTAAGTTATATTTAAAAACTTTTGACAAACTGGTGCCTTGTTCTAAATAAAGTCTAAATTTAGTCGACAATGGATATTAATAATGTAGTTTAAAATAGAAATGCGAAGGAATTTTCTTTTTAAATAGACGTTTAATGTAACAAAATGATATTTGCTGTTTGCTATTTTCGTTAAAAGAAAAAAATATTTCTTATACTTTTTTTAATAAAAATTGTGGCAGTGGCGATATATTTTTTTCGGCCATGTTACTGTAACAGTCTATAGAATATTATCTGAACATATCTTACTTTTTTGAAATAAAGATTAAAACGGTATCGTGTTGAAAATTCACGTAGAATTGTTGTAGCCACTTTATGGCAGGCGTTTAAACACCAACCTAAGAGAAGAAGGGCAAATGTCTTAAAATTTAAAAAATGAAAGTGGCAGTGATAAGGCATAAGGTGGATCCAGTGTGTGAGTAGATTCATACATTGTGAAAGCGTTTCTGGTGGGCAGACGGAGTTAAAATTAAAAATAAACGAAAAAAAAAAAAAATAGTAGCAGTAGCAGTAGTATCTTAATTGCCCACAATGAAATGCATTGTCGTGTTTGAGAGAAAGGAAAGAGTAAAAGAAGTGAGTGCATGCTAGCGCTGGCTCATGACCCCTGCTTCCCTGTGTTTGCAGCTGCGAGTAATCAGGGCGTTCAAGTCTACCCTAGAAGATCTGGAGGAGCGCCGTTCGGTACATAGTTTACACAGCTTACACAGTTTGCGCAGCTCGCGGAGCCATACGGGCCCTTGGCCACCCCGACCCCTCTCAGACATCACATATATAGACGAGGACCCTAGCGGCGGCAAGCTGAAGAGCGAGCGCGACGATCACCGTCTGCTGTCTCCTAACACCTTGCGGCCCCCGCCTCAACACCTGCCTCCCAACTCCGAGCTGCCCAAGCCCGTGCATGAGACTCGCATTTAGTGCCGGTCTTGTCCGGCGGGAGAGGGCCCGGCCTTATGGTCGATCCCCCCCCGTCCGCCTGATGGCATTCTATTCCTTTGCGGCGAGCAGTGCATGCAGACGCTCTTGTTAGTGCCACCTTATCGTAGCCGTAGCCATAGTGCTCCTGCCCTCGACCACCAGCCTCTTCCTTTACCGAAAGCTTAGCACGTAATAGACTAACAAAATGACCAAAACTGAAATTGATTTTTTTGTTACATTTCTGTATATAGTGTTTCGTAAAATTTACTACTTGTAGAATAGTTTGTATGTATAGCATTTTAGATAGCCTTAGAACTCTCAGGTTAGTGGTGATGGAGACAGATATCTATATATATACTATATATCTATACCTACATTTATATAAATATTATTATTACTATTACTTATTAGCCAACCCAGCGCATGTACTACAGAACTGCGAGTCAACTGTATTGTGTGTCGAACGCCAAGCGTTACCTAATTAAACAAAAAACATTTAAATATTCCCCACTTAATAATAATCAATTGATAACATAATAATCATTTATTTATTACTTACTTTATACATGTGTTGCATCAATTAATAATTTTTATCTGTCAACATTAATTAGCAGGCCACACCACCTAATAAGCCACTGAACTTACTCATACTTGTTTTATTTTGTTCGCTCACGTTCGTCACAATGATATTATTTAATATTTTTTAATGTTTTCATTTTAGGAAAGGTCTTTTATGATATACGATTGAGTTGCATTTAACTGCATTTATTTATTGCAATATACATTTATTAAAATATGCTTACATACTTATTTTTCAACGAATTACGTAAATAAAAATAATGATGCTCTGTTCTTACAAAATTGATCGGCTTAGAGCCAAATGTAGATACACGTTTCGAGCAATCGTGTGTCTGTTGATTGTGAACCACAATCTTGCGTAAATATTTAACACTAATTAAATTCACATTATAAGATAATTATAACGAAAGTCAGTATCATACTTAATGTAAGTTTTTGTGAATTAATGAATACAGTGATAAACCTTTATGCGAGATTGTTAATCGGCTTGGGTACTTCTCCTAAGAGCCCAAGGTGCTATCACTGAGGTACATCGAACATTGCAGAACGACATTTTAGCATTTATTTTCAGTTATTGTCTATGCATATTATTATGTCCATGAAAGACTATAAAAAATAATAAAATAAAAAAGCAGTCTAAGTGATCGATGTACATTGGTGCCTTTTAGGAACTAGTAGTATTATCTGATCTATCTTTTATTCTGTGCACTTACTTGTCTATTGTATGTGTCTGCCACTTTCTGTCAACCACTCTTAACGTGCCCTTTACTCTTGAAGGTGATAGGTGGTGAATTGCAAGAGCGTTTGATTCCAGTCCCATACAGCAAGAGCTCCACTGACCAAGCTGTAAGCTGCTTCCTACATCTTTCTGTCCGCTGTTTTCGTGTGCAATGTTTTGCTCTGTTTTTTTGCGTTTCACTGCTTCAATATTGTGTAAAGGCACTGCTTATACTGCTGTTTGCTACTATTTCAGCGACTGCAGTATCTGGCCCTTGTTTCAATATCGAAACAGTGGTAACATTCCGTTTTTTGTGGAATAGTTTGAGAATTCCTCAATCTAATGCCCGCAACAGCTCTATTACTTTTTTGTTTGCATGGTGCATGCTTTCTCTAGGTAGTCACAGATGCATAAGATGGCTCAAAACGACTGCTCGGCCGAAATATATGTCGATTGCCTTTTCCAAATTTTTACAAACAACTTACTACTACGTAATTGAACGTTTTTGTTTTTTATATTAATTACCATATTTCGAGTGCTACTTGATTGATAATTGGTTGATTAATTAATAACTACATACTAACAGTAATTTAGTTAAAACAATAATAATTTAACGCGACGACAGTTACCGCCGAGAAAACGAAATGCGCATCATAGTCTATTATTCTTTTATTCAATTTATTTAATTTCATTACCGTTTCGTTGTTTATTTAAAATGTGGCCTATAAAATACAGTTGCTTTCTTTAAAAATAACCAAAATAATGAAACTACACAGTAAATTAATAATTTTAAATAATCTCTATGATGCCTGAATTGCTTCAAAGTATCGGCCTCGTTGCATAGAATTAGTATTGTCTGTTAAACTGTAGAGGCTTCCATTTGTTTATAAAATGAGAAGTTACTGTTTAAATTTTGAATATATTTGTTGTTTGTAACCTTTGACGAAGTGTACTTAGACTGTTTTGTATTATTATTATTACTATTTTTTTTTAATATACTAACAGTTTGCTGTTTTCGAATCCAATTTTTAATAAAACATTGAAAGAATGACTTTTTAGTCAAATATTTGCTAGGTTGTGTTTTACGCCCTTAGTTTTATGTGTTTTTTATATTTTACAATTATTTTGAGTGTATACTAATACCCACATATACCATACATACAGGTGGGGCAAAATCACGTAAGCAAAGTAACCGATATCTGGTAAAGACTGTATGTATTTGAACAATGTTACTCGTGTGTGTTCAGTGGTGTTCAATATTCTAAATTCATGTTTTGTTTGGATTGATTACTATTATTTGTAAACTGCAAGTTCAATGTTAATCGGATTGATCCATATTTGGTAAAACTTATAATGCTTGTAGAGGTACCGTTGGGCTGAATTGGGTTGATAACAAGCCCAATCACCCGACAAAATACGCAACCACTTGCTGGTCTATTCACATTTAATGTGGTCTCAACTAAATTCAGTTGTGCTTCTGTTGTACTTTGCTGAAATCGAGAATGTACTTAAGCTTGGCAATGTTGGAAATGAAATGTTATACACGGCATGTCTTAATGGCTCCACACAAATACATTTCACTCAGGCAGTATTGCAGATCCCGACTGCCTTCGTGCACATGTATGTATGTATGTCTGTATGCACCATGAATCCCATACGGACATGGTTGTTTTACGTACCAATATTACTTACTATTTATTATTTCCTTTATTGCATGGTTGTTAACTATTTGATGTGATCTCGACATACCGGTTCTCAAACTCTATAAAATCCGTTTTTCCCATGCTGTTCCTGATCATGCATTCTTACTCATTTCCCATCTAAATTCCAAAATCTTCGTCCGTTTACAGTGCCATCGTGCTCTCAAATATTTTTCCACCTTTTTGGTAAGTTGAAAAGCACGAAAATTTTATTATTAGTAAATATCAAATGTCCAAAAATTTTGCCAAATAAAAACATTTTCTGACACCACTATCAGCAAATGCTAGTATATATATTGTAACTGTATAGAAAGTACCCTATACTATTATTTTAATAAGTTCTTTCCTGTTATTATTTCCCTTTAGTTTTTTTAAATGAAAGTAAGATTGTTGCGTTTTTAGAAGAAGTAATTATTTGTATAGGTTGATAAAAAGAATTAAATCAAAAACACTTATTTTGCTTTCGCATGAGCTTATTATTAATTAGTAAGAGCAAAAAAATGTAGTGAGTTTATATACGATTGTGTAAATAGTTCAATAAATAAGAATGTATCATTCATAATTCGCTTTTAGTTATGCTATCTTTTGCACGAGATTTGCTTCTAAAAGAGCTTGTATAGTAAATTAAAGTAATTAGGTTCGGTATTTTTTCAGGACTTGCTTGTCTCTTCTTCTATTTTGTATAAATATTGATTTTAAAATTATAGATTCATTATTTGATAATTTAGTTACTGTAAATATGATTCTTAAGGAAAGCACTGTTACTCTATTAATCTTTGGAAATTTAATTTAGCGACATTTTATGTAGTATGTGTGTATGTATTTTCGAAAAATGTTTGAAAACTAACAAGTAGATTTAAATATATTAAAAATGTTGATGCACTTTGTTGATTGGCTTTGTAACATACAGGGTGTATCACGTTTTTAAAATATTTAAAAAAGAAACTGGAGAGAAATAACGAACAAGAAAGAATCTATACTTCAAAAGACAAATAATTCCAAATATTTAATTTTAAAAGTAACTTTGTACAAATTCATGTTTGCATTTCGGTAGTTTTCTTTTTAATTTAAAAAAGAAAAAGGAACTTTTATTTTTGTTTTGTATAGACTTGCATTCGATGTTGTTGTATTTGTTGATGTGTAGTGTTCACTTTAATAGACTTGATTGTGTACATCTTTATGTATACACAAAAAAGAGTAATATTGATGGCATGGAGAACCGTCTGTCGAGGTCCTTCTGTTATTCTGATTATGGCTGTGCTAACTGCTCGCCACACTCCCGGGAATGTTCTATTTTTAATTCTCCGTGTTTTGTTGTTTCTTGTTCATTTCAGATCCGAGTAGTAAATGCTTTTCGTCAGGGCCTAGATGCTCGGTATGGCGAACACAGCAATGCTTCCTTAGCCGAAGTACTTCGCAAACAGACCTCTCTTTCTAAGAGGTTATCTCAGACTTCCTCCATTGAGTATGCTGATAACATCCCCGATGAGTTGACGATTCCCGAAATAGACGTCGAGCGATTGTCTTCTCACAGCCATACAGAAACGGCTGTGTAGCTTCGTGCTTGCGCCCCTTCCCGCCATCCACTCTGACCAAACTGCCCCCATCAGATAACAGCACCACCCATGGCAAAAAACCCGTAAGCCGTATTTTGATTGAATTTTTTGGTGGATGATAGCCAAGTGGACTCTACAGTAGCAATAAAGTGTAATCGGGCGAGTCAGAGTTCGTCCATAGCGTTATGATTAGGTGCCTAGTGGGCGGCGCTTCGCGACCATCCCACATGTCGTGGGGCACGCGGCCTGGTGCACTCCATCTGGATCTACACCGCAATAGAGACATCATCAACCAGCCTACACTCATGATAGTCTTTTATCTGATCATCCGAATTTTCTGAACGTTACAAAAAAAAATGACGAAAAGACTACACAGCCACCAACGTAGCTACTTGTTTAAGCATGTTGATTGTTGTGATATTTTTTAATAATTTTTAAGACGTTTCGATTGTTAATTAAAGTGATGATCAGGCAAAAAGATTAGATTTAAGGTGAAACTGGTAAAATAGAAGGGACAAATTTTGAACGCTCAGTCGCGGTTGGATCCCGTCGGTTAAGGTCGCATGCCTTCTTCCGGTCCGTCACTTGCTAGATCACAACAGTGCTTTTCTAAAGTACCAAGAGCAGCGCATCCACAGCGAGTGGGCGACCGGTTTATACATACACTACAGTTATACATACATAATATACTTACACATATTAAGTAGGTACTACAGATTTGTCTGCCAAATGTTGTTTATAGTCTGTTTGCTCTTCCAAATGAAAGAAACTTCTCCGTGATATTAGCACAAATGTTGACCAATTGTTACTACTTATAAATACTTACATACATATACTACAGCCGACTACTCATTGTCACTTTTTGTATCTATTGTAAACTGTGAAATGAACTACCGTTTTTTCCTAATACTTTGTAATTATGAGCGCATTTCAAGCATTTTTTACGTACACGTACATAATGCAATAAGTGAAAAGACTATTCTGCTTTGTTAGTGCTTAATTGAGACTTGTTTTACTTAACTAATCTGCAATAATATATTTTAGTAACTAAGTGTATGTATATACAAATTACGTAGATGCATCATGATACAACATATATGAAAAATGCTTGCATTATAAAATAGTTGTAGTAATCCTGATACCGTACATACACATATATATATATATATATATATATCTATACATGTAATACATATGCGTTTGTTTTTTTTTTTTGACCATTAATTATTAAAATCTTAATTTGCATATGCTTTTTAATAATGATTTCAAAAAAAATATATATATAATGGTTAGTGTAGTTTTATTAAAGTAATTGTGAGTTGCGGTTTATTCGTTTGCATAGTTGCTGCAAAAGGCAGTGCTAAATTTTCTCGATATCAGGAAAGTTTCAAGTAATTAGATAGCAAATAGACTACGAGGAGAAGCAGTGGTAATTAATGTTACAATTGATAAGAACAAACAAACGAACTCTTGCTTCCCCTCCTCATCATTCTGTTAGTATGTTTAGGTCTGATTTAATTTTAAGTGGAAGTCAAACCGTTAAAGTGGTAAACAAAGAAGCTAAAAGGTACGGGAACGTGTGACTTGCGTTTTTTTTGTACTTCATCTACATGTACTTTGGAATAATACAAATCCTAAATAGTACTTTAAAAATATGCTAGTTATTTATTTAGTTAGAGATATAAGTTGTGTATAAAGGCGAGTCGAACAAAGGCCGTGTCAGTTCTAGCGACTGTACTTACATAATCGATATTGTCGAAGTTAGCTTAGTAATTTATTGCGATTTAATTCAGTATTTTTTATTTGTAGTGTTAAAACGCCTATGGTATAATTATGACTATTGTGAATAATATTGATAATAATACGTATGTTGTTGAATGTTACGATGTTATTAATTACGAGAACCGACACGGCCCAAAGTGATTGCTCGCTTACGCACACATATACACTACTCCGTATCGGATCCATCGCATGGAGGCGGCTGCGTAGGGACATGCGTACAGTGAGTCGCACACCTCACTTTGCGCACGCACTCCTCGCTCAGCCAATTTTCCGGGTCGCTGTGGATGTAACTATTTAATGAGTTAACTACGTACTTATTCTAGTCGTAATATGTACAATTAACACAAAATATTAAATTGAAAAGATGTTTATTGCAATGGAAGGACGGAGGAGTATAGTTGATGAGGTTTTCGTCCACGGCGACCCGTTAGTTCGCATTACCACGTCATGTGTTGCACCCGTGGCAATGCGCTTCCGCTTCCAATGTTATTTAACTATAATGTTATATAATAATGATAATGGTAATGATAAATCAGTGGTTCGTCACGCCCTTCGTCAAGACTCCGGACACTTCTAGTTGGTCATTTACTTACTGGTATCACAAATTGCAGTTATTAATTTGTAATAATTATTTATAACTTTTATTACTACTACCATTTAAACCCTTAATAACTCAAGTTCAAGTCATGTCACGTACATACATATATGCTAATTTTAAACGGGGTGTTTGTAATCAATGTGTTCGGTAATTCGATCGGCACTTGACGGTTATTGGTCATGGTGCTGGCCAGACACGAAAAATGATTAATTATAACTCTGTAATTTACGCCAAAAATGTTTAAATATTTTTTAATTTAAGATTGTTATTGTAATTTTTAAAGTTGTAATTAAATCGTTATCACGTTACGCCTGTTATTTTGTGCCCGCCCGCGGTACGCCACTGGCAGGTCCAGTGACTAGCAAGGATCGAACTACAGGTGGATAGGAGTAAGTGTGGCCGTGACCAATTGTAATGTTTAGTTTTATTATTTAGTACTGTGTCTGTTTATTTTCATAAAATGGTAATAAGTATCTATCTAATTATTATTATTATTTATCATTATGATGGAGAAATCTGAGCTTTAAAGAGGGGTGTGGACATTATACTATACAAAGGGTGTTTAGTGATTCCATTTAATAAACGCCTGTAAATTATTTCCTCTGCAAATGGCCTTTTTAACGTTTATTCTGTCTATTATGTTTGAAAATATAGATATTTGTTTTTAAACATGTAATATAATTTGAATAATTATCAAATGCTATGAATATTTTCATATAAAATGCAAATTTTAAATATAATCACGCATACACAGCAGGTTTTGATTTATTAACATCCTTTCAAATAAATCGCCGTCCATAATCTATTTCACCTATGTTTATAATATATGTGTATATAATATAAATTAACTAATTAATTTATTAAATTCTGCCAATTAAAGTTTTAGTTACTAAAGTTAATACTAATTGTCTAGTAAAATCATACTTTCACTGTTCACTAGTCCAAATTTTTATTAATGACATCATAAATTCAATCTCATATAATTTCAAATGTTTGTTGTTCCTTATCAACCGTGCTATCTTCAGCAACTTGTATTTTAAAACAAGAAATAAACAGTTTTTTAACAAGAAGTTTTTTATTCATTTTATTTTATTCAGAATCTATTGCTGTTAATGTAGTGGGGTTCCGAAAGTATGATTTTAAAAGTTAAGTTGTTTATAAATCAAAATTCGCGTGTTGGCAAAATTTATAATCTGAACATTCACGTTATAAAATGTAAAACGACCCAAAATCTATTAACTGTATTTACTACATGATAGAAACACCTGAAAAAGTAATTGTCTAGAAGATTACCAGCAGTTTTAGACTAGTAAAGTAGAAAAAAACATTTATTTGAATTCGATCTATCATCAAACTTTTGAAAAACTTTTCCTATAAAGAATGTACTAGATAGGCAACCAACAGTTCTTGTGTGTGTATAGTTTTATCTTTATTTCTTTATCTGTGGACTTATTTGCTAACGTATTTTGCAATTACAATCTATGAATCAGAGACAACACCCTTATCTATGGGCAACTCAGGAGTCCAGGATTTGTTGTTGTAAGGTGTTTATGTGTTTATTTCCAGCTGATCTTTAATTAATAAGTGGGTGTGGTGGTTAAGTATTAATTTTCTGAATAAACAAGTGTTTATTTATTTTTAGGAAATAATGGTTGTGCTACAATCTTGTTGGTCTCCATGCATTTGGAATGATAATGTTAAAATTGGATCAAAATGCATTGCATTCTACACAGGGAGTTTTAGTATAGTTTTAATAACATTTGTTATATTTGCAATGACTGGGGGTGACTCTACACAACTTTACAATCCACTTTTTGAAGCTGATGTTAGATTTTGTGAGTTTATTAAGCTCCTAAAATGTTTTAGTTTTTAATAAGTTTTGTTAATTTACAACAGCAATGCAAATCGTTGGAAGCTTCATGCTGCTGTATTTAATATTATTGATTGCATCCTCAATTTTACTGGTCATTGGCATAAACAAAATGAACAGAGGTATGATGATACCATGGTTAATATTGTTCAGCATTGCAATTTTGTTTCAATTAATATTTGGTTTGTGGTTACTTGGTGGATATTATATTTATGTAAGTTTAATTAATTATATTATTTCTTTAAAATAATGCCTATTTTTTAGCTTGAATCTGTTTTATATACACTTGTAATATGGGCTTGGATGTCATATAATGTAAGTAAAGTTTTGGTTGATTGCATTAGGATTAATTTTTATTTCTGCATAGGTGTACTGCTGGATTGTGGTATTTTCACAATACCAGATAATTGAAGAAATGCAATCTCCCAATATAGAGCTCTTATGGCCTTAAGTATTATTTGTAGTCCATCAAGTTGTTTTTTAAGTATATTTAAGAAGCTTTTGGAATAGTGCTAGGATCCGTCCATTTTTTACGTTTTTATAAAATAAATGTAAGTAATTTTAACACATTCATTTTTTTTTTATTACCTTTATCAATGGGTCCTTTGAACTGATTAGATGGGAGTATGATTGAACCTCATACAAAGAAAAGGCAAACCACGTCTATATAAAGATTTATTTTTGAGTAAAAAGTTTAGAACAAAAACAAGTAAAACAAGCCACCATGACTGTATCTTAATTAATGGCATGTTGCATACCACATTCACTTGTAAAAGTTAAACACAATAATTACTTATTTTTATTATGTCAAGTGGAACATTTTATTTAGAAAAGTAATTGAGAAACTACTTAGAATATTCAATCTTTTGTTTCCATTTTTCGAAACATAGTTAAAAGGGTTGGTTGGTTCCTACTAAGTCCCACTCTAGGGCATCTTTTTAGCCAGCCTGACTGAAATAACAAAAATTTAAATTTAAATATACAATGTAGGCAGAATGAAACTTACTTTAGATAGTGAAGAACTTCTCTTAAGTAAAATTGACTTATTACTTTTCTCATCTTGAGAAAAGCTTAGTTTTGATGTGAAATCAATTTTGAGATTTTCGCAATTAGTATTTGTTTCAAATACTTTTTCAGTTTTATCATTTTCATTATTTTGTCTATTTAAATCGTCTGTACCACTTGTGTGTTCCATAGTCATACTTTCTACTTGTTTGTTATTATATTCAAAAGTGTGTGTACTTTTACAATCACTTTTACTTTTACCTAAATATTCTTCAACATAATCGTCCTTCTGATTAATAAATTTTGATTCATACTGTGGATTAGAATAAGTTACTACATTGCTACTACTACTAATATTGTTAGAAATTGAAGATTCTGGGGGCGTCAGATTTTCTAGATCTGAACAATTATCTTTTTCTACGTTATTTGTACACAACTTGTTTTTGCTAGATTTTTTAAATTGGCCTAAATTAAATGTTTGAGATTCCTTGTGGATGTATTCCTTTGGATACTGAAGGGTAACACTAGACAATGCTTTTCTCTTTTCTTTAGCAAAGTGTTCTAATGTCACAGTAGTATTCTCATGCTCAATGATAGGTTCATTTTGTTCACCAAGCTCTGGGGTTTCATTGTAAATTAATGATGGACTTTTGCGACCATCTTTAGAATACTCCTTTCTACTTCTAGATGCAAAAAATTTACTTTTTACTATAACTGCTTTATTAACGGTGGTTAAATTAAATTTGCTAAGTCGCTTTTCTTTATTTTGTGTAAATGGATTTAATGGTACAAATTCATTATCATCATTCCCCTGGCTATTTAGTTCTTCGTTTTGTTCAAGTTTTGGCCTTTTAGATGGTGGACTTTTATAAATATTTAATTCTCCTTGAAGCCTAATATCATAAACTGTTTGTTCTTTCTCAGTTTCTTTAGTATCAACCTCTTTTGATTTTATAATTGTTATTTTTTGTTTAACTTTTGAAAACAAGTTTTCATTATCTAATCTTTTTTGAGTAGATTTTCTTTTGTAATTATTTGACCAAATACTATTCGTCTATAAAGTAAAGGTAAAACCATTATTGTTAAATTTAGATCCATTAAAATCAATTTACCCTGCATTCTTCAGTATCTGGATTCCAGTTATCTAAAACTTTCTTTGAAAATGGATCTATATTTCCTAATGCCATTTGAAAAGCTAGTTCTTCATTTGTAAAGACACCAGCATTACATAAATATTCTTTTTTTGTACCACAAGCATCTGGGTCAGTAAGATACTGTTGTTGGCGTTTTAATGGATTATAAACAATCTGATGTTTAAATGTTGCATCTGCTATCATAAAACTTCTTATGTAATCTTCAGTAACCATTAAATTGTTTATATTAAGGTATCTTCCCAATCTTGGTAGTATCTTTATAGTACAAAACAAAAATTGAACATGCAATACCATTAATTAAATTCAAATGATACTTACAGAGGTAATATCTGTGTTATGAGTAAATCTAAATGCTTTATGGGCTTTCTTAATGCCTATTCCTGGTAGAGACTTTAAATAATCACAGCCTGACAATATACACATATAACGAAATTTATCAAAACTATAAGCATCAGGACTCATTTGTAGAGCAACACATAGTTTATCATGGTCAATAAATATGCAAGATCCATCAATGTTTAATTTAAATAAAGTCTATTAAAAAAATATAGTAAGCTTTACAGATATTAAATTTATCACTTTCAATTTATATTTACCTTTTTGCATCCAAAAAGAAGCAAGTCAGAATCCTCTGTAATAACTAAATCGGCAATTCCCTGAGTATTTAGAAATGCTAATTGAGCATCAGCCTCGTAAGGGGCAACTATACAATCAACATTAATTTTTCGACATGCCTTGATTAGCTGTAATGCCATTTCATGTGTAATATCAACACATCTCCTTAAATACTGTCTAGCCTCATGTGCTTTTCCTAGGGCCAAGAGCTCAGAAGCTCTTCGTCTAGCAAGTTTTCGGTCTTCTCGCCTTTTTAATTCAGTTTCTTTTTTAGCTTCTAAATGCTGACCATCAAAAACGAGAATGGGGGTGATGTTAAAATTTAATAGCATGTTGACATATTTTAGGCAGTATCTGATATGTCTGAAAAATAAGCAATAAGCCTTTTATTCATAGTATTAATTAATACATACGCGAAAGTCTCTTCTCCTCTGACAAGTTTCTCTGAACATGAAAATGACCCTTTATGAAGCCAGCAGTAAGCATCTATAGCAACTACACTATCGCGAAATTCACTAATGTGACTCTTTTTTGATATACTTTCGAGAAATGGTAACAGCCCTGTTATTCCCATTGCGAAATCAAAAAATAAATTAGCCGCCAAAACTTATCGTAATTTCCATAGTGATTGCGTATCTATGTTAGGTTATGTGTATACTAGTCTTTTTAAATTACCATAGAAAGTAATATAGGATAGGCTCATTGATATATTTTTACATTTTGAAAATTTTATTTTATTTATACGGTGTAATAAACGGACAAGGGTCATAATAGTACGAAAACGCCGTTTGCAAGTACTCTTCCTCACGTAAGCTACCAAAATATAACATTTTATACAAAACAAAGTTTTCCTTTCTTAAATTAATATTCAACTTAACAAATTGTATTGTTAATAACATTCCTTATTTTATCTTTGTTTTACTTTTAAGAAAGGATCATTTGTTTGACTATTAAGAACTTTTAACTTCATAAAACCGTTATTTTACTAAATGAAAGATTACAATGATAACTTTTATGGAAGAAATACAAACTTGTAACTTTTAAGTAATTATTTAATGATATACTAAAAAATTAAACAGAATTTGATCATTGTCTAATAATCATTTATTAAACTAAAATACACAAAATAAATTGTAATACCATTTACTGATGAATCAAATGAAATTTGAACAAGTGCTTGTAAATTTGTAAAAGTAGACCAAAATTTGCCTAAATAATTTAATAATGAATACATTGCTTGGTAAAATATAAATGTAAAATTAAAAAAAAAAAAACAAGTCCCATACTTATGCACAAATCAAATATCATGCTGAAAAATATCCATAAGAAAATTTTGTAAAAGTGTAAATTTCAAGAAAAAAATCAAAATCTTATTTCAACTGGTAACAAGTGTCCTTTTTCCATGATAAATTAATACAGATGTGTATTATTAGATAATTCAGTTAATTCCCGAATAAGAGACACTTGCTTTTTAATAATATTGTTTGCCTCATTTTCAAACTCTTTAGTATAATGTTTATGATACAATGTTTTATCAAAGCTTTCTTCTTCATTAGCTGCAAGTTGTTTCTGCTTAGCCATTAGTATTCTATTATACATTTCCAAGACCTTTTAAAATTAATACAATAAATAAATTTATAACATATATACGACAAAAAATACTTACTTGACTATCCACGTGATCTAATTCAGCTTTCACTTCTTGTCTTTTCAAATCTTTTTCTACAATTGCCTTCAGTTTCTTAAGTTCAGTAACATTATGTGCATTAACTGTTTCCAATTCTTGCTGGCATTTTTTTATTTCTTGAAGGATGTCATCTTCAGTAGAAAGATTTTGATAATGCAACTAAAAAATATATTAATATGAAAAAGCTGCCATTTATCATAAATTGATAATTTATACCTTAAAAAAGTCCTTTTCTTCCCTTTTTATTTTATTGTTGCTTTCCAAGCAAGCACCTGGGACATTTGGCGATTTATTATTTGAATTTATACTTGAACTTGTGTCTTGTACAACTTAAGTTTAAAAATTAAAAAATTATTTGCATGTATTAGCATTGTACAATATTTACCTTTATTTTTATCATTAGGTGTAGGGAGTTTTGTTATTACCTTTTCTTCTATTAAAGCAGCAAGTAAACGTTGAGTAAATGGACTAGAAAATGTTTCTACCATTCTAGAATAGAAAAGATACACAGCTAAGTACATAAACATAAATTAGAGGGAACATACGCATTAAGCCCATTCTTTTTTAATTCATGGTTCAGTGTCAGAGTTTTGTTTTTAGTGTTTCTTGTTCCACTGCCCAAACTTTGTTCTTGATTTATCATTTCTTCTAACCAGTCTAAAGTATAATGGTCACCTATTTCTGGAATTTTTACCTCTATTTCTTGTGAACATTCTTTTATTAATTCATCAATAAACTAAAATTATATAAGTTAGTCTCTTTAAATTGTAATTTCACTTATTTTGTGTGATATTTCAACAAAGCTAATAGCTTTTTATGATGTTTAACTTACAACTAAATCATCCTTGGTGACATCTGCACAATATGGCTCAATTGACAGCCAAAATTTATCTGAGGTATCATTTTTTGGAATTGTAACTTTTGGTATTTCTTCCTTATGTTGTATATCTATATTACTGTGAAGTGGAACATTATAATGTTTTGGCTTCAACAATCTTATTCCATTCTTTGCATCCCTATATTTAACTCTTTCATCTATTTTTTTCCTTTTTAGAGGTGGCTGCTACACTTCTCTTCATTAGTTACCTGAATTACATGGATATAAATATATATTTATTACCTTATCTACTGGTTTTCCCTTTTTGTTCTCTCTTCGTTCTTCTTTCTGGTCAATATTTTCAATTTCAGCTTTTAACAGTCTGTGTCTCACTGCAGAAGTAGAAAGCAATTTTTCCAAATCCTGCTGTAATTGATCTAAGTCCTCCATTTTCACCCCATCATTAGCATCCCGAGATACACCATCATCAACATTTCTTCCCAAAACTTAAAACAGTAAATATATATTAAACCACTGCTAGGACTCGTTATACTTAGGTATACCTGCTGTGTATCTAGGTAACAATTTTGCATTATCAGCTTGTTTTACAATTGGCAAATTTGCAAGACTACTTTCACCGTCAGGTACAGTGGAGTCATACAATTTATGACGACTGCTTGCAGGTTTACTACATTCTTTAATTTTTCCATTATATCTGACTTTTTGTAAATCATGGGAACGCTTCAATCCATCCATTTAAACTGTTACAATTCAAAGCAAATGAAACAACTAAAACTTAACCTAAAACTTTATGAAACTACAAACAAGTATAAATTGAACAACTGCCATTAACACCTTGTTCCTAATAGTTCTGTTATCCAAAATTGCTTCTAAATGCTGACCATCAAAAACGAGAATGGGGGTGATGTTAAAATTTAATAGCATGTTGACATATTTTAGGCAGTATCTGATATGTCTGAAAAATAAGCAATAAGCCTTTTATTCATAGTATTAATTAATACATACGCGAAAGTCTCTTCTCCTCTGACAAGTTTCTCTGAACATGAAAATGACCCTTTATGAAGCCAGCAGTAAGCATCTATAGCAACTACACTATCGCGAAATTCACTAATGTGACTCTTTTTTGATATACTTTCGAGAAATGGTAACAGCCCTGTTATTCCCATTGCGAAATCAAAAAATAAATTAGCCGCCAAAACTTATCGTAATTTCCATAGTGATTGCGTATCTATGTTAGGTTATGTGTATACTAGTCTTTTTAAATTACCATAGAAAGTAATATAGGATAGGCTCATTGATATATTTTTACATTTTGAAAATTTTATTTTATTTATACGGTGTAATAAACGGACAAGGGTCATAATAGTACGAAAACGCCGTTTGCAAGTACTCTTCCTCACGTAAGCTACCAAAATATAACANATTAAGACCTATCATCAGAGCCATTTAATTAAAGGAAAGTGTTGGTGTGAAGTAAAATCAAAATTTGGGGGATTAATCGATTCCTTTTTATGTCCCCCAGATAACAATTTTAATACTACAAAATTGGTTTTGCATATTTTTAGAAGAGCTGTAACCTAAAACGCATGTAAATAAATTGTCTTATGTAGATATAATTTAATTTAATTTAAATTTACCTCTTCGTCGCATGGTTGAATGGTTTCTAAAAGCTGCCTGGCTTGATGAAAATGTTTACAACCGGCAATATAAAGAAATATGCTGTCGACAGATTGTTGATTAAAACGGGATGGTGTTGTCATATCCCTAAATTCACTGTAAGGTACAGGGGGAGGTGTGAGCAGGTTTTGAAAGGGAGCAAATCTGTGCTCATACCTGACCCTTTCATTATCAAATTGAGGATCAGGCATTTTTAATTTTCCTTCCATTCTAAACCCAATCAGTGCCTAAGATAAAACCAAAACTGTTAAAACATTTTTTATTTTATTGCAAGAGTTTTTTAACTTTATTACTTAATCAACGTAACATATTAATATTATGATTACCTTGTAATATCCTCCACACATATTTTGAAGGGCTTGAAAAAAAATAATGTCCTTGTGATATGGACGCACCTTTTTCCGAAATTTCGTCCTCGATTTTTTGTTCCCCTTCGTTTTCTGCATTTCGCCAACTAACTCCTGTTCAACCAAAAAACTATCTGCCCTAGTTAGAGCTGATACTAACCAACCATATAAAAATTCATATAAGTACCTAACAATATAAAAAATCAAATAATATCGTAATTATTATCATTAAGGCAAACAAGGACTTACCAGTAAATGTAGTAATATTCATGAACGCTGTAGAGCTCTAATTCAAAACCAGCCACTAGATACATTATCATAATTCGCAATGTATGATACAAAATCCATGTTCCGAAACATGCTAAATGGGGCCGTGCGTAGGTACTATTTAACGACAGATTATGTAAAAACGCGTCTACTCTTTCCGCCTGGAAGCAATGTACTATTACTATTAGTTTAATTAAATATCATGTAATTTGATAAATTTTATTTTAATAATAGTCTTTCTTACAGATATACGGATATATGAAAATAATGACCGAAAGAAAAGAATAAGCAATAAACGAACCTCATCTTGCAAAGCAGTAAATTCTTCCAGTAAATGAGCGAGTTTATCTCGTTGCCTAGCTCGATTGTGACCACAAAGTTGAAGTAAATTCGCAAACGGTCGGGTGCAGTGTGTGAGAAATGTGTCGACGTAAAGCCTTGCCTGCAAATATGTCTGGTGAGTTTTAAAAATTTTATCAGACTTTAAATTAATTCGAACCTGTTGGTTTGTTAGAATAGTTTTTGACATTAATGCTGGTGGTGATATAAAAGCTTTGGCCGATTCTTTAAGTAAATCTTTTAGAACGTTACTGTTTGAGCCTATTATTGTGGTATTGCTTCCCAAATAAAGTAACTGCAAAGCAGATCTTGAAAGAATACACGGACTTCCTTTACTAAAGTCTATAAAAAAGTCCTGAAAACAATTTTTGAGATAAGATTATTAGCTTACAGTAACATAAGTTAAAAAATACTCCACCAATGCCTGATGAAATGAAGACACATGTTGAATTTTACAAACTATTTTTAATCTATCTATCATTCGCTCAAAGTAATTCATTGCTTCATTTCTGGCTTTAATTTTTGTATAACGTGGAAATGTAGGTGGCAGTAGTCTTTGGTTTATAAGTGGTTCGAAACCTAGTATTTGAGAATTTTCGCCTAAAATACATATTACATTTACACGTTTGAAAAGTCATATTAAGAAATAACTTGCATGTAGGCATAACACCTAATTTCACCGTTTTGCGCATTACTAACAGCATATCTATAGCAGTTTGGAATAGTCTCTGACAGTCAATTATTGGAGGCTGTATGTCTTCCTTTCTTTGTAAGAGCATTAACAGTGACTGATAAAACACTCTCATAAATTTAATTCTTGCAAATATAGCTGATAGTTCTTCATTCTGCAAATAATTCTATTCCAGTTTTTAGTTAATTAGCAAATAATTAAGCCTTATAATGTGTCAAAAGTAATGGTGAAATTATGTATATATGAAACTCAATTATACCTCTTCAGTGGACTTTTCATCATTTTTATTCCGACTTTTCTTATGAAGTTCCTCTTCTACTTCCCTCAACATTCCAATTGTTCTCTGTTCTGAAATATCAGGTGATAAGTGGTAACCATACTGCACTGGTTGAAAATCTTCTTCTTCATATACCATTGCTCTAATATAAACCAAATTTACTTTTAATTTATGCTAAATTAATATCACATGCTTGTATACTAACTTGTGAACAAAATCTTTAATGATCTCTAATAGTTTAAAAACTGCTAAACAAAATGCTTTCAATGTTCTGTCCTGTATAAGGTAGGGTTTATGTAAGTATAAATTTGTAAACACAGTTTGGGCAAGTGAATGTCCTTCAAGCCAAGACACCACACAAGACAAGGTTGTATCGATAATTCCTATTTGTTCAGATATTGTAAATTTAGAAAGTTTTAACTTGTTTTCCTAAAAATGGTTTGGTTGAATAACTATCACTGGATCAATTGTAATTAGCAGTTACCTTAACTGCTTGATCAAATGACTTTATTTTCCTTGTTCCTCGATTACACAACATCCCAGCATCCATTTTAGGGTCCATCATTTCAATTGCAGACATTGCCTCAAACAGTCCAAACGTTCCATCATGTAAAAGCTCCCCCAAACTAAGATCTTAAATTTTTGGGAAGTAGTTACAAACTTATCTACATGCAAAGCTAACTGTTACCTTTAACTGCATTCAAGAAATATTCGGTTATATCAACCCAATTGTAAGTTGGGTTAACGTTAGAATTCATTCTTAAATAAAATATATTAAATGTAGACTCAGGGAATTCATATATCTTCAAGACCACATTGTAATTTGTTTTAAGTGTCCCCCTTAACAATCTTAAAAATGCAAACTACAGCATTAATTAATATCGCTCCTTTCAGAAAATAATTTTTGAAAAAACTACTTACGTAAAAGTTATTATCAAATTTATTAACACAAAAACATTTCAACAAGCCTTTTATTAAATTTTATAACCTTCGCTAATATTAATAACATTCAAGAGAGGTTATGTCGTCATTGACAGAAAGTCGATTCAGACTATATTCAGAACGATGCAACTTCAATTCATTAAAATAAAATATATACAGAGTGGTCAGAAGGGCAAATCACATCTGTATAATGTGTTGCCTACATGTGCGTTCCTAAGTCCTGTTAATTTGTTTTATCGTATTTGCCGGTAATGTTGTTTTTATACATAGATATTCACCCAAATCTTTCCTATACTGACGTACAATGTATTAATAATTAAAACATCATAATCGATTACTAAATAAGTAAGAAAAACAAAAGTTTCAAAAGAAATGTTTTTCACGTGCAAAATTNTTTTATTGTTCTCAGTAATATATACGATTTCAAACATATTATTCGCTATTGTTTTAAATAAGGGGGCAGAACTAGAAACAAACACATGAATAATTTATTATAAATTTATATTAACAAGAGTGCTATTATGTTTCATTACAGCTTTATAAGTATTTACAGACATATTTCTTTTCAAATGTAATTATATTTAGTATCAATACAATAACATACGTTTATATTAAAAAACAACAAGAATGTTCGTAATTAATTGCTTAACGGGAAATTTCTTGTACGACACACATTGTGATTGAAGGCTAAAAAATTATCCAGTGTTTCAAAAATATATTTGCTATTAAGATGTTTACCCGCTATTGACAGGCTATATAATTTTTATTAGTGTGCAATAATGTCACATGTATAAAAGGCATGTGCGAAATTAGGCAATTATCAAATTAGAAAAATTAGCGTACAATTAGACTTTTTCATTTTTCAGAGATCATCTCTTAATAGAATATAATAAAGGGTGCATATTAAAATGGTTATAAATCTAAAATTTGGAATTAGACTAGATTAATTAGAAAAAATACATTAAAAAATATTTTGGTGCTCTTTTCCACATATTTAACAAATAGCCTTTAAAATTCTATTTGCTGAAGAAACAGCAGTAATTATTCGTAAAATTTACAAAAAAAGCACCAAAACAGTAAACAGCACGTTTTATGGAAACAATTTTGAAAAGTTTTATATATGCCCACAAATATACATATGAGAACCCAAATTTGATCCCTCTTTTGCGTAGCTTTGCAATAAACAACAGTAGGTAAATTATTTCAATTAACGAAGATTGAAGCATAAGATATTGCATAGTGTTTCAAATTATGTTAAATAATTAAATATAATTAAAGAACAATCAAAACATGCCACATGTAATATGAACTTTTTTAGATTGTCAAATTCACGTTTTAAGAACTTTCTATTACATCGTAGTGATTCAAAATTGAGAATTTAGCAACTGGATATGTGTTAAACTATTTTAACGTTTTCTTTCTTGTATATTTTGGAGTATGTTGAGTAATTGGTTTAGTTTCGAATATTCTTTGTTTTTGATAGAAAAAACAAGTATTTAAATACTAATATATATATTTTGATACAAATAACATGCAATAGTCTTCACATATTGTTTATATAGTTTTTGTTTATAAAAAATAAAGTCGTTACCTGACCATTGTACAAATTATCGTGTTGTGTAAAATGTTATTAACTGTCTCAATTCTGAATCACTTTAAAGTTACAAAAGTATACTATTAAATACTACCAGATTTAGTTAATGATTTCAGATCTGCAAGCAAGGCTGTGTAGTATTATTTTTTTCTTTAAAAACAGCTAATCATATTAAGAACTTCTGATCAACTCATTAACCTTATACCAACCTAGCTTGCACACTTTCTTAATCACAGATTAACTCAAAAGCACTATCAGATTCATACAAAATACTCTAATAAGTATTATAATTCAAGAATATTGTCTTGTAGTCTTAATTCACAAAACATGTTTCACCATTTGGCAGTAACTTTATAAAAAATGACATTAGAACTACAATTGCTTTTATTTTCTTTTCTTATCAACAATTTTATTTAAAATTGTCAGTTTCAAGCCTTTGAATTGCAATTGTAATTATGAAATAAAATGAAAAAGGAAAAATCAAATTTCCTCAAGTAAAATTAAAACATAAAATAGTCGTTGTAATAAAAAAAGGTAAATAGCAAATAATAAATTAATGCACATAAAAACTAAATACTAACAATAATGTTGCACAATTTAAATATGAAGCCTTTTCTAAAGGTAAAAGCCCCTAAAACGATCAAAATGAATAATTATTATTAAATTGTTTACTTACAGAGCTGTACTCAATAAAAGAACTACATACAATATGAAAGAGAATTAAAATCTTGAAACTGACTTACAAAACTTTAAAGGCATGATAATTACAATTAGCAATATGATTAATGAATAAGATTGATTTTACAATTGAGAAAAAATACCTACAATAAACGCTAATTTCTTGAATTAATACTAAACAAAAGATGATGCGGTCTCTTGGTCCAACACTGGGATTCTGCCCTTTCTCCGCACTTGCCTTCACGTTTACACACTTTCATGCAACATAATATAGTCTCATACATTTTTTAAGTTCCTTTTAAAGAAGAACACAAATGGATTTTTTTTTCTGTTTCTGTTTCTTTTCGGGGGATTTTTTATTGATTTGTCGTACTAAATCATAGAATATCTGAAAATGTCCAATTATAATGTTAAATACGTTTTGTACGTTAAATATTCTTTTCTGAAAACTTACATCATTAACATTAGTTTTGGCTTTGGCAGAGGTCTCCATAAAGGCACAGTTAAACTGGCGCGAAAGATTTACACCATGTTCTTTACCTACCACTCTTTCTTCCTCTAAATCACATTTATTGCCCACCAGCACCATTGGAACATCGTCAGTGTCCTTTAAAGCAATTTAATATTATTTCTGTTTGATGAAAGTACATCATTAATACTAAGTTTAAATGAAGACAAACCTTGACTCTCAAAATTTGTTCCCTAAGATCCTGCAGATCATTGAAAGTAGATTGTGCAGTAATGGAATAAACCAAAACAAAACCCTGTCCATTTTTCATATATAAGTCTCTCATTGCTGTAAATTGTTCCTAGAAATTTCAGTAATTTATTTATGAACATGACATTATTATAACAATAACATACTGTTCCTGCTGTATCCAATATTTCTAACATACATTGTTGACCATCTACTTCCACTTGCTTTCTGTAACTATCTTCTATCGTAGGATCATATTTTTCCACAAACACTCCTTGAACAAATTGTACTGTAAGGGCTGATTTTCCAACACCACCAGATCCCAGCACTACAATTTTATATTCTCGCATTCTTGTGCTTATTTACTGAAGATTTGGGCTCTGAAAAAGAAATACATTTTATCTTTAAATAACATTTTCACATGATAAAAAGAATTACTAAAAATCACTACTTATTTGATCTATTTGTCACAAGTAAGTTACTCTTCCTACAAGTCAAATCAATCAACTAAAGAGGCAGTAAGTTAGGAATTTTTATAAAGAATTTACATTGAGATTACACCTACTTTGTGCAAAGAATAATGATTTGTAATTCTGAATATTTATTCTATTGTGTATTATTAAAACGCAACTGCATTACAATTATTAATACCACAGTGTAATCAAAGACTCATTACCATTTATACTTAATACTTATAATTAATATTGCTGTTTATTACCCATTTAAATTTTGATCACATAAACAAATGTTAATGATTTGTTGATAACAGTATCAATTTGATATAAATCCAACAGCAAAAACCACAACAGGAAACTAGAAGAACTACTAAAGCAGTCAATTAGCTTCCCAGCTACATATGCTCTACAATGTATACCTACATACACATGTATATAAATAAAACAAGCACTTACAAATGCAATGAGTTTGACAGGTCATTGTGAAGATTTGTTAAAGTTATGAGTAAGAAATGATGAATCACTTTTTAAATCTACTGTTAAATTACGACAATATAGCAGTTAATTCTAAAAGCATGTTAAATAAAAAATACCCCATGCAACCATCGAATATACATATACGTACCTCAGGAAAATTTCTCCTCTATACAATTCTCTATTTATATTGTATTTTGGGGGTTGTAGCCACTCCAATTTATTTGGCAAAACCACAACAATCCATTAAACACTTGGTATATCGAACATTACACGAACATGGCTTTAGCGATTTAACAAACCACCCATTAAATCAGAGGAACTGTTTGTAGCACTTCGTTCTTGGATATATCCACAATAAATATATTATCGTTGCTTTTTAACGTGTAACTTTAAGACAAAGTATAACTTACCGCAAAAGCACCACTAATTAATGTAAAAACGGGCGATGGCTTCAATAAGTAAGTTGATAGCTAGGATAGCTACAATCACTTTTCTCGCTTCCGTCCAAACCCGCGCATGGCAACATGCCGCACCCCAACGATTGGTACATCTAATTCAGTTTAAGTTCTGTAGATGGCAGCTGCAGTATCAAAATGTTGCTTTATAGAAGTTTTAAATGAAAATATGTCTATAATGTCTCATTTGCGTGTTTTTACCACTTAATTTCGGTTTCTTTATAATATAATTTTTTAAAGGTGAAACGGTGTTTGTTCCTGCGTTTCTTGAATTTCTGAAGTAAGTTTTTATTTAGTTTTTATAATTGGAAATAGCTTTCTAAATTAGCTCGTTCCTTTCGTTTGTCTAGCATACAAAAAGTATTGTTTGATCCAAAAAAATATTTTCGAAACGAGTAATTCGTGAGTGTATGTTTTTTCTGCATCAAAAAAGCTTTTATTTGTTAGGTATTAACAACATAATTTGTCGGTAGGTAAATGTACTTTATCTAACGATAAATGATAATGTGGTTTAATTAAACTTAATAGTGAATAGTTACAAGCTGAAAGGACATTTTAAGAAAATTTTATTTATTGCGTCAGGGTACAGTACTTCGCAGTTTTCAACAACAGTAAGTTATACAACAATAGTTATTTGGGTGGTCTTTTTCTTTGGTGCTTACAACAGATATAAGATACAACATTTCATTTTAATACAATATAATTATATATTAAAATTATAAACTCAGATAATAAAAACATAAAGTTAAATGTAAATAGATACATTCTAAAAACACGACCAATACCCTTATACATAAATGTACGACATACATATACATGCATATATATGTAACTAACATTCATTAAAGGGGGAACAGTTGGTAGACAAATAGCAAATTATTACTTAGAAAAGCTACCGATATAAAACAGAAACATTATTCGTTGATATCAATTAAGTTAATAAAAATAGAGAAAATACTTTGCAGTAACAAACTTAACACTCGTACGCTATAGCTATAGCTACATTTCCTTTAAACCTAAATATATCACAATCTCAAAAGAACCGCCAAAATACTTCATAATTCAATCCATTGCCATGTTTTATTGTTGAACTTGTGGATTTTCCACTTCCATTTCCACCGTTTATGGTGCAATGTAATACAGGCACTCCAAAATAGCATTAGGCATAATATAATAATAATGATAAAATATATTTATTAAACAGCAATCTCAAACGAATTTTAAAATGTTTACGAGATTGAGTTTAATTTTAATTAAAATCCCAAATTTTTATTTTTCGTTTGCGACAGACACCTATAGTTTAATGAAAGAAAACAAGAGAGAGTACATAACTATATGTGAAACTATATCCGTAGGGTGTTCCACGATATATGTTTATATTAGGCATTAAAAGATGAGATACCCTGTAAATTTTCATAGTTTTGTTTCTATTTTAGCCATACATACTTCGACAGTTTTCGCGTCAATTCAAATTTTAAATATATGTATATTTCTAGAGGTCGTGAGACACCCTATACAAAACATCTTTTTTAATACTCAACAAATTGACTAGTTTACATTTATGTGTATTACAGCTATAACATTCAAGTCTTTTTGTAAAATTAAACTATAAAAATATTCAAAGCAGTTGCCATGCTTAACTTAATAATTAAAAAATTAATATTTAATCGTTTAATTTGTTGGTTGTGTGACATTGTTTTTTACGATCAAAGGGGACATTCATTGTCAAACATCAATAGTTGTTATAGAGAAACAGTACAATAGCTTTGGAAGATGTGTCGATTTTTGATTCATAAATGAGATCATTACACCTTTTAATTAAAAATGAGATGAATTTTTATAAAATACCTAAATAAAAAATTTGGTCAATAAAATTTCGAAAAAGAGTGAATAAAAATCTCAACATCTTCAAGACTTTGAGCAAAAGCATCATTAAACATATTTGAGGGCCATTGCGAGACATAGTATGTGATCCCTTTTATCACCCCAACCCCCATTCCCTTTGCGTAGTTTCGCCTTTTTTAAGACTGTAGTGTAACTTAATGTAAGATAGGACGGGTACAAATATTTCTTTGCTGACTTCAAAACCTGTTGAACCTTTGAAATTATGGCTGTCGAAAGACAATTGCTTTTATTGTGGTGAACCCCGCTACAAGAAAAAAAAAAGGGAATTAATAATAAATTTACAAGTGCCTACTATATAAGTGCAGATTGTTTTGTACGTACCATTCTCCAATATGGAAAACCCTGGGTGCTCTCACCACCATTGTATGCAATTTGTGCTTTAGACAATTTTGGGATACCTGTTGCAAGGACCAATCCCAGTTGTAGTCGTCATATTTACAAAAGAATTCAGCACAGCCAACTATTTCTACCCACGTGCTACGATTAAAAACCATCCCCATATTGTGCTTGCTACTTATCCAAGGTGTTACTTCCACCTAAGTATAGAACGTAAATTTTAATAAATAAGGGTAGACCAATAAACGAATATCTTACTTTTCTGGAGTCGCTGTAATAATTATAAGTTTTCAAATAGTTCCCTAGGGATAACATGTTGCAGTAGCGACATGAATCCTTACTCGCTTGTTCCATTTTTTTTAACACATAAAGAAAATCTTCAGCGACGTAATGGTCCTCCTCTAGAAGAACCACCAAACCTGTGTAATTTTTCATAATTTCCAATTCATTAAACACTCTATTCGCTTTCCACCACCAGTGGTGCTTTGTTTGCGTAAATTTTGCCTCTCGATAATGTCCATAGTGATCAGGATACATCGCATTTTTGCATTTCCTAGCCACAGCCCTTAAATTATGTTAAAGTATTACATTAAAATATAGGTACTTTTACTTACAATTCTTTCTTCATGTTACGTGGGCAGTCTTTAGGATCTTCACCAGGGAACTCGTTTGGATGTGTTTGAATTGAAAATGGATAAAAAATTTGTATTACTTTGCAAAAATCGATGCTTTGAACCAGCCCGTTAATTTCTTCGTCATAAAAATCATGTGAAAATATAAGCAGTACCTGAGCTATATCAGTAACTTGGGCTAGGCTTACTATAAGATGCCTGAGGTAATTTATTCTATCGTGTACCTGAAACACAGTTTATTATTTAAGATAAAAATTCAGAGGTTGTATGACAAATATTTTGATTTTTTATATACATGTTGGACGCAAAATCCGAAAACGAACGTTGTTACTCTTAATCAAATAATAGAAAGAAAAAACCGTTGGTACCATGAGATTCTACGTATTGTTTTACATAATTATCACTTATCAAAGCTTACAAAATACCTTCCATCTCTCAATGATTTAACGAGCGCTTTTTTATATTTAAATTAATCTACGCATTTTAGCAAAAATAGTGCCGGAATGTATCTATTTGATACCGCACTAGAAAGCCGTTGGTACCATGAGATTCTACGTACTTTTTTACATAATTATCACTTATCAAAGCTTACAAAATACCTTCCATCTCTCAATGATTTAACGAGCGCTTTTTTATTTTTAAATTAAGCTACGCATTTTAGCAAAAATAGTGCTGGAATGTATCTATTTGATACCGCACTAGAAAATCGTTGGTACTATGAGATTCTTCATACTTTTTTATATGACTATCAATTATCAAAGCTTATAAAATACCTTTTATCTCTCAATGGTTTCACGAGCGCTTTTTTATGTTTAAATTATTCTACGCATTTTAGCAAAAATAGTGTCGGAATGTATCTATTTGAGACCGCACTAAAAAATCGTTGGCACCATGAGATTCTACGTACTTTTTTACATAATCATCACTTTTGAAAGCTTTGAAAAAAACTGACACCCCCTAATAATTTCATGAGCGCTTTTTTAATGTTTAAATTGTTTTCGGATTTCGTGTCCAACATACATACATGCACTTTTTTATTAAGTTTGTGTTGGGACATTAAATTTCGTAACACTCAAAAGTTTTTTGTCTAAAAAACTGATTTATAAAGTCTGCTTTGTTGAATCTTGATCGCAAAAAAGGATGCCTTAGATACGAATCTGTTTTCAAATAAAATAATGGTCGAATGGACAGGAAAATAAGATAGTTACCTGCACTACGATTACAATCGAATCATTCTGCAATGGACCAAAAATATTTTCATTGATAACTGTTTGCTCTTTGTTGTATCTGTTAATGAAATATTTCATTTCGGAAATGTTGAGGGAAGATTTAGAAAATAGGTTACCGATAGTTAGATTTGAAAGGGACCGATTAAAAGGCCTAGGTGTAAGGAACTTATGCAGAAGGGAAGGAACCATACTAAGAATTGCTGCGTATGAATCATTTATTTCCTGGCCGGTATCGGATGAGTTTCTTAAGCTTAGAAAGTTTAGCTGGAGCCAAACGAATACGACAATAAACAGAAGCACGCTGTTCCGGAGCCATGATATTCCACGGCGGCGTACTAGCAGGCTTCGCCTGCTGCTCATAGTATATCATCCCAATGACCTGATAAAAAAAATTGTATAACTTTAAAGTTTTACTCCCACTAATTGTGTAAACATTTACTTCAACGCTATTATTAATTGAGCAAATCGCGTAAAAGTTTAAGAAAAAAGTTTTTAACTCGTTTTACGATTTCAATAACATTTTCGTAAAAGTTTTAATGGTTAATTATCCGAAATTGTTATTGAGGTACTTACTCCACGCCACTTAAAATTGTTTGCTGTTGAATTAATAATTGGAACATTAATCAAGTTAATTAATCATTTATGCAATCGTAACTGCACCTTAATTTATATCGGTCGCCTGTTTTTTTTTTCTTTTTTTAACCGTAATGATTATCAAAAAATACATCTACCACGACGTTTTTAATTGCAAATTTCTTCATATTTTCACACTTGTCAGAGAAAAATCAGCAAATTTAGGATTCCATTTGTATTATGACATAATTTTGTGCCATGCGGAAGGCTTGAAACGCTCTGGCTGTAGTATTTTCACAGATTTGTTCTATCGTTAAAAATAACTAGGCTTTGGGCTAAAAGCGTAATTAAACTGATATTTTCAGAAGGTTCGGTTAAACAAAAAAAAAATGACAAACTTATCTGTATGCATAATTTTTGAATGTGAGCAATCGCGTTCGCGTTAATAAGTATTATTAAACATCATGATACGGTTTATTACTTTTTTTTATGATACAGTCATTGGTCTGGTGGGTAAATCATTAAAAGGAGAACGTTAATATTATTCTCGGAATAAACCGTAAAAGCTGGTAATGTTTAGGTAATTGTTTTTGTAAATAACTGAAACAAATGTTGGTTATTAGCAAGGTTATCTACTTAAGTACGCGCCTGTAGTACGCAACTTACTTAAGTATGTACCTACTTCTAATGTTAATGTTACGTAAAATTCGCAAATCGATCTGCATTACAAACAGGTTGTTGTTTATGAAGCAACCGGCTTGAAAACCTAGATACTGAAACTCAAATGCAGACAGCATTTCACAAAGAAAAGAAAACGTTGACAGGTTTTTACAAAGTTTCTATTTCCTTCGTGTAAGTCCCATTATTGCTATATATGTATGTAGGTATCTTTCTTCTTCATTTAAATTAATATAAAAGCATCTTATGATTTTCTTCTAATACAATCGCTCAAAACCTAGTAATTAACAATTTTTTTTATCTTTCGTGTTTGATTCTTCATTCGTATGCTTTGTGGCATCTGGTTTACCTTTTGGCATGTTTAGAGCAATGACAGAACATGATATTAGAAGGTAGATACCTAATGGAGGAAAATATAAACTGTAAAAGAAATAGATAATATTTTTCTTTTCTTTTTTTGTTTGAGAGTAACAATTTCTGATAATACACATTGTCTACTTACACATTACAGCTAAAATTTATAATAGGTATTCACTTGATGCTAAAATCCAAAAATATACGTGTTTATTGCAATTATTTTAAAAAGCGTAACTATGCAGAAACAGAAAGCAAAATATAAAGCAGTCGTCAAGTTATATTTTTGGATTTGAAATTCCTGACTTTTAATATCATTTCTAAGTTCACATATTTGCGAAAAAGTAACTGACCTACATTTAAAGAGGGGGGGGGCTAGTGACATTTACCCATCGACATGTTTGATAGCCAATAATTTTTAAAATGTCGCATATTTGAATAGCAGATACTAAACAGGTACATGATTGATAAAAGGTTGTCATATTTTAGTAAATCAAGCATAAATATTTCTATGCCACGTCATCAGCTATTTTACCTACTTATAAACTGTAATTCCGACTTGAAATCTATAAAAAAAATGAGCTGCAGCCAAAGGCGTGTTCAAGTGTTTTTTAAGGAATAATACGCTCTAAAATCAATCATGTCACAAAAAAGAAACAATAGCCTTAAGTTGACAAGCTCATCGGTTTAATTAATGCATGAAGCGAAGTATGAGCAGCATTTTGCAAATTAAGCAAAGCTTTAGAAAAACAAAATTAACCATTTAGTTATAGAAAGCACCAGGCTTGCTGAAAATTTGTCATACCTCGACAGTTTTTCCTTAACATTACCCACACTAAATATGTACTATTTTTTATCATTTTATAACGGTTTATCTTGTACTAAATAATGACTCTAATTTAACTATTAACTACAATTACTTGTCATTTTGAAACAGTTATGATGCGTAATGTATTTTTTTAATTAAGTGGGGAATTGTGTAATTGATAGTCGCAGTTACAAAACTTTGTTGTTTATCATTGCAATTAAAAGTTAATACTGATATAGTTCAAAAATTTTTAAACATGTGTCTATTCAATTGAAAACACCAATTATATTAACAGTACAGAACTAAATATTATTGTTTAATAATTGAACCATGTATATTTAATACATGTACACTACAAATACATACTTTATGCATACAGTGTACAGGTACACCTGCATATTTGTAAAAACAGTTATAGTAACTGACATTTCATATAATTAGCCAACGATAGTGTTATTAACTATCTGTTTTATTTCTAAATGCCTGAATTCCAGAAATAATTGTTGCATAATAGAAACAGACTCAGTGAGCTTATAAACAATATTTTTGCAACAAAATTAAATTTAGTATTTATATTAGTAAATATATCATTCATTACCTACCAATTAAATAAAGTAATAGGTTGTTGGTCCGAGTTATTGTAAAATAGTTACACAACAGTGAAGCTTATGGTTAAAGTTCGTATATATTTACACGGTTTTGAGTTTTACCAGAATAATAAAGAATAAATTTAAAACCACGAATAAGGAAATAATTGACTAAACGGTTCAGAATTTTGCAAGCCATTAAGTTTTCAATTTAAATCGAGGTAAATTTATATAACAATTAAAGCTGTTTTATCATCGGGGAAAATACGTCGGTTAAGGACATACAATTATTTTATGTGAGTCATGACGTTTGTATTTTAAAAATTGAAAATAGTTTTTTTAATGTGGTTTCATATAATACCCATCTTTACATCCAGCAAAATAACAGGAACGTGTTTGCATAAAAACTACAGCTACTTTTCATAATTTTAAATGTTAACAGTTTGTTGTCACGTCTATTAATATTATATACAGCATATATACGTATGTGCATACACATAAATATATAGCAGATTGTGTTAAGGTATATCCAGTACAGGTCATAAGTTAGGTGTTGAAAAATTGTTTCGGCCTATCGCACTGGTTTAATAGCTATTTAATAAATATGAAATAGATGTCATTAATTTAGAATCCTGAAAGCAATATAAATCTCTACTTAAAAAATGCTTACTTTCGAATTTTTAGTAATTTACAGTATTTTGTGTCAGGAACTTTTGCGCTGAAATGTGCGAACTTTTTCATTTTATGTTATAAATAATGAATATCAAATAACAAAATTTGTAATAATAAAAAAATAAAACAAATTGTACAATTTTCAGAACAATAAAAGTTTATTGGGTGTTTCACCAAAATGGAAACATTCTGTTAACGCTTGCGTACATTAATTAACAATAAATTTGTAGCCTGGAAATTAGAAAAACACATTTAACTTTTTTTGTATACCACAGTAATTCAATTTTACCTTAAAAGTAGTACATATTAAGGTGTAGGTAGAAAATGTTTTTTTAAGTTTTGTTGTTAGTATTTATTAACATGTGTTGTTGAATGAATTTAATGTCGAACCTGTTTATGATACATACGCATTTACCATATTTTGCGTTAAAATGATATTGGAGCATATTTTATCATTTCTTTTATGTTAATTTACAACGACCTGCTAATATATTTTTTTTATTAAAGCAGAAAGACATTATTTCATCGATATTGAGTTAATTTGCTTTGCCCTTTGTTAAAAAAAAGACAAAATGCTAACTAAAAAAATTTGCTTACCAGTCTGAATTTATTGATCTGCAGGAAGAACTGTTTTTCGCGAACTATATTGTTAATTGACTTCGATTCACGGTTGCGATTTTCTTATTCTGCCTTCATCATTTTCGCTGTTAAGGGCGACATTTTATATTCTTTTCTTTAACGATTGCAGACTATTTTTCGGTGTAGAGAAGCCAAAATAGCGGTATTAAAATGATACCATTTACCGTGCGTTATACAGCCTACACTTTAGCAAGCGATTTAGCTGGATCGAACGCTAAACGTAGTATAAAACACAACACTCTAAAGTGATACTCCTCTGGGCATAACAATATAACATGCCCAGTAATAACTGTTCCGTTTTCATTGGCTTTTCAACATACGCATGCGTTATTTCAAATAAAAAAAATAGAATGAAATACCATTACAATATTAATATTTTCCATTTATTATTGTTTCAGTTGATTCGAAAAATGTTTGGTCATATTTTTTATCGTCGAACTACCTAATTAATGATTCCTTCATGTAGTTTTGTTTTCAGAATATCTTATTTTATGTGGAACTTTGCAAAATTTTCTAAAAAAATGTTAACAGAGAAAAGATAATCGTAAAAAATTTATTCAGTTAACAATTAAAGTTCATTTATACCTTTAAAGAATTGATTTCAGAATTTTTTTTAAATTATTTGCATATGTAAGTCCTGCCTGTTTTGTTGATATTATTTTAAATACTTTAGCATCAGTAGTCCTTTAGTTACTCGTAATTCAAACTTACAACATTTTTTACCGCTAAAATTTTAAATTACCTGTGCTTCTGTGCCATCTAATAAATGTTGCAATATTTTCAATATTCAGTCATATCTTGGTTATAGTTTTCTGCTTAAATTTAGCGCTGTGTGTTGACGGTTGCAGTTTTACAGTATAGATGGTAACACTATGCAATTAATCGTGAAAAATATTTAATTAACTTTAATTAAAAGGAGGAACTAATATTTTTTTTTATCACTTTTTGAAANTATTTCTTTATTGTAAGAGTATAGTAAACTGTTTTTTTGTTATTACAAAGTATTTGCAATATGTTTACATTAAATTATAAATCGAAACGGAATCAGTTGTTTTCAGTTGATAAAATAGCGTAATTCTCTTAATTAGGGTTAGGCTATTTTTATAGTTTTTATTCATTTATACAGGTAGATAAGGTTTGTTCTGATTTGCAATAGCCTTTTTATGCATTTGTTAATATTAAATCCTTAGATGGATAACTGAAGATTGTAACATATCTGTAGCACAATAATAGTACATATGTCTGCGATAGAATTTTTATCAAAAATAATTCTAACACTTTGTAAGAGCGTTTAAAAGTTTATTACAATATCGATTCGGAAAGAAAAGCAGATGTTTTATAATTAACATAATTTCCATTATCAACGATATTTTGTACTTATTTAGAATTTATTAGGGGAAAACCTTGCAAACCGTTACATTACATTGTATTGTATTTAAGGTCATAGTAGTCACTTAATAGGTTGATACTCTTGCCCTATAGACGTTAAAAATACAAATGCCATGAGTAGCAATGTTGATCCAAATAAATCACCTAACGCTGTTAAGTATGGGATAGCTGAGTTGTCTGGGTCAATTTTCATTTTCCACATTTTATGTATAAGAAGATGAGCTGTGTATAGCAAAATCATGACTTGTAACAGGCAAACTATTAAGTAGGTAACCGCAAATAGTGGTGTAACAGTAGAAACACCTCCGTTATAAATTGCATCCGCAATAAAAAGGAACATTAGTTGACCAGGTACTGCCATAGCTATAAGTATTCTTGCAGTTTTAGCAGAAATTACTGTAAAAGAAATTAATAGGTAGGTACATATTATTTAAAAAAAAGACCAGTAAAGATTTGCATAGTCCATAGTGAAAAATGATACGATAATCATGAATTTCTCTATGCAGTCTAATTGTTTATCCTAACTAAATACAAATAAAAAAATTGATAATGAATAGATAGATTAATGGGGTTCACTAAACGAGACGAGACATGTAACCTACTAACTTCTTAGTTCACAAATGGAAAAAGCTGAAGCAAAACTCGTATACTTGCAAAGTTGCGTAGGCAGATTGATTATAATATTAACGAACGTTTTTTAACGAAACTGTTTATGGTCATTTAAACCTGTTCGTTTTAAGCCCAAATTACTGCGACTGTCGATTTAATACAATGGCTTTTTGACCTCATAGGGTATCTGTGCATGATTTATAGAAGTGGTCCAAATAATTTTATCCACTTATGCAGATTAGTTTTACAATCAATATTTACTTACGTTAAGGACAAAACTGTTTTTACTTTAGGGATCTCCCTTTATTATATGTTTATATTGGCTTCTTAGAATTTTTGCCAAAGTAAATTGCAATTACGATAAGTGTTTGTTTATATAAAGCGGTGTAGATACCTATCTATCAAAACAAAAATAAGCTATTGATATTGTCCAACCTTGAACTAGATTGTAAAAATAAATTAATAAAAAATTGCAATTATTATTGCAATTGTATGAATCATGACACTTAGGATTTATGGTGAATTCCAATAATTTTCGTGGTATTGTAAAAGTTATATAAATGGAGTTAAGTTCACCATGGGGGTCTGGTCAAGCACTTACCTCCTTTGAAAAGAGCTGACCAAGGAGCGACCCATAGTTTTGTATGTGGTGGTAAAATTCCAGGTAGTGAACTTTGATGTAACATTGTTGAAATCCGACTTGCTTGTACAGATACTAAATTTCCTCCTACACCATTTATCACAGGTTGAAAGATGGAGTATCCTTCATACGTTCCCACAGCATTATCAAGGACTAAACCTCCTAGCCTAAATTACAAAAAAAATAGGCTACTGTTAATACTATATATGCACAATATTTAGAATTTTAGCCCATGATGCTATTTATTTNTAATGTTTTGTATTTATCATTCAAATTAATCTCACAGGGAACGTATTTATTAAAATTTAAAACTATTTTTCTTAGACTTCACTTAAAAAATTTGTTATAGAAGGCTTACTTGTTATTTTGTAGTGAGGCTTTTTCAACTGTCTATTCGTAAGTGGCTTAGAAGTCTGTAAAAAATTGCTTCTATTAGTATATATTTTGCTAATTTAATAGATATTTAATTCCGTTTTGTAAAGCAAAACTTTGTCTTTAAAGTACAACTAACGTTTCTGTTTTATCAGTTAATAATATCCTCTTTATTATGCTTTGAAACTATTATTTATACCAAAACTAAATCCTATGTATTAAATTACTGGTAAAGGTTCAATAACCCTTAACCATTCTTCAATGAATACTATAAATTACTATAAGCGCCGCTATAGTAATACGTCATGAATGAAAACGTAAAGGTCATTGTAATATTTCATTCATAAAAGGAACTAACAGTGCTGGTGCGTTTTGCACTTCTATGAAAAATTGTTTTCCCCTAAATCTTCTGGTGGCAAATTGACACATGGTGATCACGATTACTGATAGCGTAACCTAAAATATTAGTTTAAGTGCCGGTTTGTAGTTGTAGACTTCGAATTGTTATTTATATCAACGTGTTCTTATTCATAATAATTAATCGTCTTAGTTATAACTGATAGTGTTCATTACCACCAAATTGCCGGAATTTTAAACGTTGTTAAAGGTAATTGCACCTGTTGAGCTTTGACTCGTCTTACGTATCTGTTATTATTTTCGTTAGTTGTTTGATATTTCTTTATTGTAAGAGTATAGTAAACTGTTTTTTTGTTATTACAAAGTATTTGCAATATGTTTACATTAAATTATAAATCGAAACGGAATCAGTTGTTTTCAGTTGATAAAATAGCGTAATTCTCTTAATTAGGGTTAGGCTATTTTTATAGTTTTTATTCATTTATACAGGTAGATAAGGTTTGTTCTGATTTGCAATAGCCTTTTTATGCATTTGTTAATATTAAATCCTTAGATGGATAACTGAACGCAGTTACTGTCATGTCTACATGTCTAAAAATGCATGTAGTAGGCCGGTGGCGGCCATCATTGTTTTAGTCTTGCAAAACTGACATGACTGTGCACAATTATATGGTTTAGCTGGTTGATTGAGAATTTTAGTTAGTAAATAAGGCATTTTGAACATTTAAACATTAGTTTTAGTTTTGGCTTATTGGGCGAAAGGTGAGATATTACTTTTTCTACTTTTTTAGACATCGAATAGGTACATTACCCGCTAATAAACAATGCTGATAGGACAGGTATCCAACCATTTTTCAACACGGACTTGGTGTACTTGTTTTTTAATACAATTATTATCCACATTGGCAATAGTATAAATAAATAAGAAGCTATGATTATGTAAAATACCCACGTGTAGGTGTCTGAAAAAGAAGGTTCATTAAAGGTGTAAGGCCAAACAGGTTGTTCAATTTTGGACGACAATGTTGAAGATGAGATCTAAATTTTTGCTACATTTCGCCAGTTTGGTTTGTTGACCTTCTCAGACTAAAATTAAAGAGCACATGCCCTTTTGGTTACAATACACCAATAACATACTATAAAAAATGTTATAACTAGGGCAAAAATAATCGCCCTGTGTCTAAACAAAGGTTTCAACATTTTTTACACTATATTATTGGTGTATTGTGACCAAAAGAGCATGTGCTCTTTAATTTTAACCTGAGGAGGTCAGCAAACCAAACTGTGGTGAAACGTTGCAAGAACTTAAGCTTTATTGCTATCTACAGGACTTGATCCTCAACATTACCATGCACAATTATTTACAAACATGGAGGATGCAAAATCCACTATTTAAGGTTGTTCAATTTACTTACCTAAAATAACATAAAGACTAGTAGCGCAAATTGATAAAATACTAAGAGAGACAACATCGCCAATGCTAGCAGCTAATGGTGTTGCTAAATTGTCAGGGTTCATTTTGATTTTGTGAGTACAAAAAATAACTGCTATCAAAACAAAATCTGCAAAAGAAACAAATGATGGTTAATGAAAGTTTTGGCACATGAAATTGGAAAGTTTTTCTTAAGAACTACCTATACAAACCTAAAACGAAACAAGTCGATGTAGCTGTTAATATACTACATGTTATCACAAGAATAGCACTCTTAAAAACTATATGTTCGCTTAATATTGCAGACATTGCAACTGCATAGAGGGACACAACACAGGCAGCTACAATCGCTTGCACCTGTAAAAAGTTATGTTTTTATCTAAAACAAACACAAAATACACAGCTTTTAAAAAATACCTGTACAATACTGATATTACCCAATACCATCTTAAAGACTTCTCGTCTGTGATTCATATTGCCTAAATTTGCTTGAGTGGACAGTCTGGAGGCTAAGCACATGTCCAAGTTTCCCTTAAGACCTAATAATGCAGGTACTAATACGTATAGGGCCCTTATATTCATAAATACCTCATATTCCTAAAATTATACGGTAAAATGTTACAAAAAAAAGATGGGATTATTGGGTTTTATAAATCATTGTTCCTATGGCTAGACCACTGTTTTTATCAGTATCTACCTCAATAATTCCTAATACTAATCCAGCACCTATGGTACCCATCCCAGCAATAAAAAATGGAACTGATACTTGTAGCGTGGTGTGGAACCAACGCTCCCTTTTGTTTTTGGCATTTGCATTAACATTGTATTTATCCATGCTGTCTGTAGTTTCTACGGATTCTATTGAATCCGCTATAGAACGAGATTCGTCAATATTTCCTAGAAAATTGAGAAGAGTTTTTTAAACCGTGGGAGGTTTTATTGATTTACACTTTTAAATACCTGGCCCTTTTTTCTGGTTGGTCTCAATTTTTTTGGATATGTCTAGCACAGTGGCAACTTTAATTTTATTATCGGGGGTAGCAACATATATTTCAGGCACGTAGGTTCCAATTACATTGTTATTTTCAGAAAAAGCAACCATGTCTGTAATGTTTTGTATTTATCATTCAAATTAATCTCACAGGGAACGTATTTATTAAAATTTAAAACTATTTTTCTTAGACTTCACTTAAAAAATTTGTTATAGAAGGCTTACTTGTTATTTTGTAGTGAGGCTTTTTCAACTGTCTATTCGTAAGTGGCTTAGAAGTCTGTAAAAAATTGCTTCTATTAGTATATATTTTGCTAATTTAATAGATATTTAATTCCGTTTTGTAAAGCAAAACTTTGTCTTTAAAGTACAACTAACGTTTCTGTACAATAATAAGACAGAAATTTGTGTTTTGAAGTGTTAGGGATTGCAGAATGATATCATCCAATTAAATAGAGAATAGATATTATAATCATCAGGTAATTGTTATCAGGAATAACATATCGATAGTGTTAGGACAACTGGACATTTATATATGTATTAGTGTTCATTTGGTACACATCTGACCGAATAAGTAATAATTGTAATTTAACTTTTTAATTACAATATTTGTAATTTTGTCGAATAAGATATCGTGGTATCCCCTGCCCCTTTCCTCTTGAGTATGTTCAAGCCTTTGGTATTTAATTCATTTCTGTGAAATTTGTCATTGTTTTCGTATTTTGTTAAAATTTTCCTTGGTATTGTTTATCGTTCTCGCCTTTGTTTTTCTTGTTTTTATCATACACATTGTTATTAATTTTTTAAAAATGATAATGAATATCGCAAAATCTCTTTTGTAATAAAACTAACAAGATAAAGAAGCAAAAAAAATTAGTGAAACTAATGTCTTTATGGTTTTTTCGTTTTATGTGGCATCGTTATTAAAATAAGATCGTATAAACTGTTAAAGTTTACATTCGGTGCTCCACAATGTTTCTTTTCAGTGGATTACAATAAAAAAGAAAATTACTATATGTACCTATACTTATAACAAATTAACTGCAAGTTGACTTTGCTGTTTAGTTTTGACTTTTCCAATTAGTTACATAATTACTCTTTTAGATTCTTTTGTTAGCAATTTTAAATTGTAGTATGAAAATACACTAATTTGTCTATATGTGTATACCCCGCACATAAGAAAGTCTACCTAATTGAGAAAAATTAATTAAATTCCTTTTACTTTTCACGCACATTAATTGCGTGAATCACGCTGAATAAAATGAAAAGAATAGTGACCTTTGCCTGTAATGCTTCTTTTCTATATATGTTTCACTTCCGTGTTAATGATTTACAATTTAATTTAAAACAATTAAAACAGTTACATTTCGCACTTTCTAATTTACATCTTTGAGGTTGAAGAAACTTGTATTTGAGTGCATGCATGTGTGTCCGTCATTGACAATGAAATCGAGTCCGGCATCAGAATGTAGGCCTTGATATGCAACCTTATTATAAATAAATTTGTATATTTCCCGTAAGTGATCACCACTGAATTACCGTAAACGATCCACAAAATTGTGTTTGTTCTATTTCGTAAACTCGTCCTTCGATGATTTTGACAGAAGATCTAAAATTATTTGTATTGCAGAGCAAAAAATATCTTATCTAAACTATCTCTTAACGTGCAGTCTATTCCCAATTAAGGTCACCCCAATTTTCAAAAATATGCCACCATTTTTCCTTGAGGTATCATTTGAATAAGCAAATAAATCGTAAAAGTAAATAATAATTCATACATAGGATACAGTATCTAATGTTTCGATGTTGTTTTTTATTTTTGCTGAATTATTTTCTAATTTAGTTTTCTTTCCTTTGCAGTGCATCGATCGAGTGTTTTAGTGTTTGTGCTATGGATTCTATCCTTGGGCAGGATGTCTAATGGTGATGGTTGCGTGCTGCAGAAGGTCACGACAAAGGTAGGAAAATTGTTTACATCCTCGACATTATATAGTACGTTGCTTCGAAAAGGAGATAAAAGAACGCAGAGCTTCGCGAAGCTCTAATTATTCGTTATAGAAGCTGTGTATCATTACAGTACCTTTAGGTACTTGAACCAAAGTACATCTAATCTTATAATGTTCGTACGTAATAACATACAAGAAAATTGCACCAATCTTTTTGAATAAGAATAATCAATATCGTCTAGGTTGTGTAAGCAAAACAAAAGCTCGTAAACAATATCTTTCTGTGAAAAACAGTTTTCAGGAATTATTGTGCAAAATGTGTTTTGCTATTGCATCTGCCACACGGTTTGTTTGTCAAAAAAAAGATAACTTATAAAGTACCTAATACCCAATAAATATGCAACAAAAATAAAAATTGTTTAGGTAATGATTAAGTAAGTTTTCATTAATTTCGAAACGAAGTAGTAGTGTACTGTATTTCGAGGACTGTTTTTTAGTTTAATAACAATGTGTTAGAAATAATTTGCTTTCCAGAAAAATGAATCACGAATTATTATTGTTTTGTTTTCAATAGATAAAGTTACTTTGTCGTGCTATAGAATTTAAATAACAAGTGGAAAAAAGTGATTAAATAAAATAAGCATTTCCGCGGTTTTCGATTGTTATCTCTCATTTTGTTTTTTGCGTAATTTGTTGTTTCTCATTTTTGATTCATCATACTGGTCCAAATTATCCATTGTAGTTTTTTGTATCTGATTAAAAAAGTTACTATTTATAGAGCAATTGGCAATCGCGATGTTATTGATATGATATAGTAATACGTCCCTAACAGAGGTATTTTGCAAGCAAAAAAATGAACAATTACAAAATAATCATTATATCCAATATTATGTCGATTACCTTATAAATTATTGGTAACCTTAAACAATAATAATTTTCTCAACCTCTCGTTTTCTGTAAAAAAAAAAACTTATAGCGCCTCTACACTTTCACATCCTTGATTCGAAACTGTCTGTTAAGGCATATATTATTTTAACCTAATGCAATATTCGTATATTTTGAATGGTATGACGAAATTACTTATAATATACTTTTCAAGGATTCCGAATTTTTAACATCTGTACCACTGTAAAGCTTTAATCCTTTGCATATCAGTTTAGGTGTGGTGAATAAGTGTCGTTTTTAGGTATTTAAAATAATAACTAATTTAATGCGTTTCAGGATAATTTCCGCGTTAATCTAATTTCTTAATTCATTTACGAAATAATAACATTATTAGAGTCTGTCTTTTTTGAATTCTAAATAATGCATACAACGATTACCTACAGTTAAATAAGACTTTGCTTTATACTATAGTGTATTTACTACAGGCAGTTTATACTAAGGGCCGGAACATTATATTTGTTTATAATTCGATTTGAATATTAAAATTATCCGAAGTATTCAAGTATTTAAATATTTGAATATCTGAAATCTTGATGTACATTTGAACAGTTAATATTAAAAAATTATAACTTCAAAAATATTGCATTTGATAGAGAAAATTGGAATATCTGGATGTTTGAATTGCAGACTTTTCTTTTTTTTTTTTAATGAATACAATTCTGAATTTAATCTTTAACTTAAGGTTATAAAAAACAAAGTTAAATGGAACAGTATAGTGCAAATATCAGAAAAGTACCTGATGAATGTTTTAAGTATTATTACTTACTCACTGTTTAAATGTTTGATTTGAATTTAATCTATTTTACAAGTGCGAGGTACTTTTCTTTTTTTTTTTTATTCTTGTTTTGTTGTTGGACTTTCTAATGTAACAATTAGGAAATTAAGAAAAGCAAACCGAAGAAAAACATTTGCGCTTCGAAATGTTTGGCTGTCTATAAGAGTCGCTTTTTAAACTATTAGAAAGTAAAGGTTTTCTGCCAGTTTAAATTAGTAAATAATTAAAAAACGGTACTGAGGAAAATTGTCTTGCCGTTGATGTTATAACCGCTTCACGTATGTATGTATATATCTACAGGACCTTCGAATAACATTTGACTGCGTACACAAAACTTCATTGTAATTGTTTTGTTTGTAATGAGACGATATCCGTGGATAGGGCCGTGATAAAAAAGGATGTTGAGGATAATGTCTTTCCACTTGAAAAAGATTATTTCTTTTTCAATATTTAGCTACTGTCGTTGATCCTTGACCTTGTTCTTTAAATTGTTTGAATACTTGAAATTTAAGTATTTACTTCGTCTTATCGCAGATGAACAATACATAAAGTACGTTTCTTCAAAGAATGCGGGAATTTTAATCATGTTAAAAATACAAAACAATCATAAATAATAACTTTGTAATTATCACGTCGGATATACATATTTTGAGAAAATTAATAGAAAAGAGTGTGTATATTGTGAATATTTATATATAAATAACGTTCTCCTTGTTATTCCGTTCTAGTGCTACAGTTATGTTTTATTTTCGAAGCGAGTTATAATCCTTACAAATTGAGATACAACCGTTCAAAAAACGAAGGTTGTACAGTAATTTCGTTTTTGTTGTGTATCAGCGTAGGTTAATTTTTTGTGCGATTTATTTGATTGTCTAGATTAAAAAAGACTTACCTTTTTTGACACAATGATTACTATGTATTTATTTCATCAATAACTTATCGAGGCGAGTCATTTGTCAGTTACATTTTGTACCTTCTTCTATCACTGTTTCGTCCTGTAACAAAAGAAAAGAATTTTTGATGTGGATAAAATCAATCGCAGAAATCCAACGTAAATATAATATGCTCAAACAATAATAGTCACGATTGCGATTATATTTTCCCATTTAACATCCTTTCATCACCTGGAAAGTCCCTTTTTTACAATAAAAAACCCATTAAGAACAATTAAATATCCTTTTAATCTTTTGTTCATGAGTTACTGCTCATGTATTTTCCATTGTGTTAAATTTGTAATTACATATTTATTTATTTTCTTCATCTATCTAATAAATTAGTACATTTGTGGTTTATTGTGTATAATTTGCCGCTTGGCGACAATTTCTGCAATTCTGATTTAGAGTGGTTATTGGAACGCTAAAATTTGCGGATGGGAAAAAACATAATGTGAAAGATAATAGACACAGTGAATGAATTAAGTCACGATAAAGAATACGTGTCGTTTGTTGTACCATATGAATTACAGATTATTATTATTATTAAGTTCGTGTCTCACATTAGAACAATTGTATTACATATACATTGACGTTATAGTACCTACTAAAGAAAAATAGACATCCTCATGAATAAACCTTGGACGTGGAAGTAGAATAGTTTTACTTTTATTATACTGACTAATTATGGTAGTACCTGTGCACACCAAGTGTAAAATTGAGACCCTTACGTTAGTTATCTATTAATTTTGTTCTGTAATTATGTTAAAATATTTACCGCTATTAAATTCATATTGGGTTAGTTAGATAACAGATACATAAGATGTGATGTATCAGAAAAGAACGGATGAAAAGTTTTAAAAAAGTTTGGAGCGTTTTTGTTTGGATATTTACGTACATTTACCGGTACAGTAAATGGAACAAAAATCTTTTTAATTTAATTTTTTTAACCCCGCAAACAAAACAAGAAAAACGTAGCTTTTTATTAATTTACTGAATTAGTCATAAAAGCACTACTGATTGAGTTTGTTATCTAACAAATAATCATAATCATAATCACAATATAGGCGTGTATGTTGAGAATAATGTCCATGAACTTTAATGAATTGACTATTTTTATATACTACAGTAATATAGATACTACATTACGTTTTTAAAATTCTAAATTTAATACGAAAAACACTTCCAGCAGGATAAAATAATTTTATTGCAAACCAAACGAAGGACAAGGTAATACAATAGCCTAAATATCTCACAAATTATAGGTCAGCTTTTTAGTAGATAACGAAAATACTGTTGCTTTATTATTGTTAATTTTTAACAGTAACAATTTTAATGATTATTATTGGACGTAACGGTTTTGATCTATTCGAATCGATACTCGATTTCCTTTTATTAGATTAAGGCAAAGTCTGCCAATTTTAAATAAAGGACGAAATACGTTAGGAAGTTGATTAAAAAAGAAAAAAGAAATTAGATTTTAAAATAGTCTTGTCATTATTCATTTGTATGTCATTCGTTGAGTCCAATTAGATAATATTCCGTTGATTATTTGTTGCAATGTCTGCTTAAATAATACTACATATTGCCTTACGCTTTTCCTAATTTTCCATCAATGTTATAAATATAAAAGTAATCAATGTATTCGATTTAATAACCTTTTACGTCAGGTACTTTTTTAAGTATATATTCGCAACTTTCTAGCAGCATTTTTTTGATACTTGGATATATAATTTTTTTAACGATTTTTACTTTCACTTGCGTGACAGCTGTATGTGTATGTGTGTGTATACATATTTATATGAAGTTCCACTCATAATCATTGTTCAATAATAAATAAGTACCTTCTGATTGTTATTCCGATCCAAGAAAGTTAAGTCAACAATAAAAACTTGGATTCATGGATTCATACTGACGCATTAGGTCTGTATATGTATTATATTATGATTAGATTGTCTATCCAGAAATGGATAATTGATACAGTTTCGCTTTTATTTGGCTTTTCACTTTAGTTAGTATGAATATCTATATTCAAATTATGCAGTCCATAAAAGTACAGATGAATCTTCATGAACTGATATTTTATAATTTAAGAATTAATGGTTCATGTAAGNATACTGATGGTTTTACACACCCCAATGCTAAATAGGGCCTAATAACGAGATTAACCAAAAAATACCATACGCAGAAACAGTCTCTATCAAAAAATTAATGTCAGTTAACAATTGGGTTGTAATCGCGATAAAAAAAAAATAAAAAACTGCAACATTTTAGATGATAATTTTGCAACATGGCTCCATTAAATTACGACGAAGACAGTGTTGCAACCGTAACCAAATATACGACCTCCAATATTTTAGGAGCATGTATACGTATTATATAAATGTATACAAATAAATATAAAATTAACTGTAGGAACAGGAAGCATATATACTGTCACCTACTTAAAATTACCTTTCTTTTAACCAAAGGTCGTAGAGAGAATTAGTGGAAACGAATAAAAGTGAAGCAATATTTATGTAAAACGATATCTTATTAATTTGATTACTTTCTGGGGAGAAAACTGAAATTTTATTTCTTTACATTCGTTTCAATGTAGTGGTAAAAAATTAATAATTTCCGACATATGCGAAAATTTTTAATTTATTACCCCCTCGTTTATCTTCAAAAGTAAGTGATATTTTGAAAATTTACAATATAATGGTTTATGGCGATTTCAAATTCTAATAGTATCAGCATTTGAAATCGCCATAAACCATTATATTGTAAATTTTCAAAATATCACTTACTTTTGAAGATAAACGAGGGGGTAATAAATTAAAAATTTTCGCATATGTCGGAAATTATTAATTTTTTACCACTACATTGAAACGAATGTAAAGAAATAAAATTTCAGTTTTCTCCCCAGAAAGTAATCAAATTAATAAGATATCGTTTTACATAAATATTGCTTCACTTTTATTCGTTTCCACTAATTCTCTCTACGACCTTTGGTTAAAAGAAAGGTAATTTTAAGTAGGTGACAGTATATATGCTTCCTGTTCCTACAGTTAATTTTATATTTATTTGTATACATTTATATAATACGTATACATGCTCCTAAAATATTGGAGGTCGTATATTTGGTTACGGTTGCAACACTGTCTTCGTCGTAATTTAATGGAGCCATGTTGCAAAATTATCATCTAAAATGTTGCAGTTTTTTATTTTTTTTTTATCGCGATTACAACCCAATTGTTAACTGACATTAATTTTTTGATAGAGACTGTTTCTGCGTATGGTATTTTTTGGTTAATCTCGTTATTAGGCCCTATTTAGCATTGGGGTGTGTAAAACCATCAGTATCTTAGACTCTGATTGCGTTGATTTTATTGTTTTGCTTGAGTGACCAGTTATTACTACAGTTGAAATAATTAGGGCGCGTATGAAATAGCGTTTATGAAAAACTGATAACCTGATTAGGTAATTTGTTGTTATTTGTTTACAACAATAGAGCGCAATAATTTTGTAATTTTTGGCTCTAGATATTACTTATTCGAATTTCTTATTCTTGAATATTTCATATACATAAGCAGGTACAAATTTAATGATACAATTTCAGGTTTTATAATTTTCTACATGCTTATACAGTTATTTAGACAGGTTGATTACTTGCACTAAGTAAAAACACCCTTTATAAGATCACTCACGCGTCCCCCTTTCGATCATCTGCGTTCCTGGACGTAGAAACTTAGTTTTTCTAATGACACTCACTTATCGTTTAATTTGCGATTTAAAACAAAATGTTGTGGAAAATTAATTTTTATTATTTATATTACCTGAGCACTTAGGAGAGAACGTGGGGAATTCCCTCCATCGTGCGGGAAAGGGTGTCGTAAGCCCGTGTGTAATTTTTTACTATACTTCTGCCTGGAGAATTCGATATTTTTCGCTGATTTCAGTAAGGAAATCTCAAATTCCTTCGCGGGTAAAAAATCACGATTAGTCCTTATGAGGAACGGATATTACTAGATATCCTCTGTGTGTCTTGCGGAACACAACAATTTTTTATTTTTCAGTAATAACACTACGTTAAAACCGAAAATTTACCCGTTTTCGTTGAACGCTTACAAAGCAAATGAAGTAACAAACTATCGCGTTTGTGGCCACCATTTTGTAACGAACTTTGTTTTTTAGAAAGCAAAATAGGATCGTTTCTTTGCTACTTTAGAGAAATTTCATTACGTAATTGGTTCAATTCCGAAGAGAAAGAAATAACAATGCCTTCTAGATTAATCGCGCGCTTTACAAGATATTATCGACAATAGCTGAAACCGTTCTTTACGGAAATCGGAAGTGCCTGCCATTACATCCTACAAACGCACCAGATAGTATAGCGTACTGTTAATAAATAAATTACAATAGTGCACCCTGTACGTTAACTGCAAACATATTTTGCTATTGTGCACGCTTTTCAACTTTAATGACCTGATAATGTTTATGTTTAACACTGCACTATCAAAACTGAATAACACAACAGCATAATTTGCGTAAAAACGACATTTGTACGTAAACTTTTCTTTTTATTTATTTATATATAGGTTGTTAAAATTCAGTTAGTACACATATCTAAATTGTAGAAAAAAATTTATGTACGTTTAACATAAATTGTTTTAAGGTTTGCTCGGTTAATAGTTGGAGTAATATAATTTTAAGTATTTTCACGTTGCACAAATTATTACCGATACACACATAAGTGGTGAAGAAGATGTCACAAGACAGAAAGACAGGGCATAATTGCGAAATATCTTTTTACATTAATCTTTATCGTACAATTTTCATTATATAATCGGCCGCCTTAGGAAAGGTACAGTTAGTTAAGTGATTTGTTTAAGAGGAATCTAAGATGCCAATTAGCATTTCTTTCGGTGGCGATCTCACAATGTTTGGGCATTACTCTTGAAATAAAAGAAAAGTAGGACGCAAATCAATTTGAATTAAAAACCTGTCACTGGTATTTAATTATTAATTTTAACGCCTCGTAAATTAAAATAAAATAAAAACTAAATTAGTTTAATGTGAAATAAAATGTCTATTACTTATAACTTACATATACGCTTAACAACTTTTCCAAAATTACCTACATTTTTTTTTACCGTCTCAATTTCGGTATGAAACTTCAAAACTGCAAGTTACACTGATTTGATTCACTTTCACAACAACAAACTGTAAATTTACTTACAACTTTGTTGTCTTAGAAAATAACAAATACGCGGAATTTATTTTAAAATATATCAATATTAACAGTTGAAAAGGTATAAAAATATTAATTTTATTACCCCAATTAGATAGAAAGTTATGTTTATAAATTTATAAATTAAATAGTTTACGGAATGATTTGACTTATAAAAACATTTGGTCAATTAAGTTAATTAAATAAATGTACATAATTTACTTACCCTTTGATATAAGAGTGGATTAAGTAGTTTGTTTAAAAATCACTACCGTGCTTTTAAGCGCTGCACTAATAACTACCTGTAAGTCGCTAAGTCAATTGTCGATTACTACAGACTGCTCGAAGTAAATGTGCCGTATGTATATAATCCTACCGCGAATTATACTCCTTTTATACACCTATATTGATAATTTTCAGGTCTGTAGTTTACATAGAATCGCCTGCAATCAAGACAATTCGTTATCAATGGATATTCCCGTGTTGTCGCTGTGCATTACTAATTATTTTAACGTACTGTACATATACATTATATTTACAACAATAGTTGTATGTTAAAAAAGCATAAATTTTATTTTTGTCTTTTTCACGATCAGTATAGCTTCCAAAAATTTTTACGAATTTCTCGGTTTTTGTTGTGTTTGCTGTTTAAAGACTGAAGTAATATTTTCAAAATCACGTACTATTTTTAATGACAATCCAGTTAGGCGCCTTTCTTAACAAAATAGACGAAATCGATTATTAATGGATTTTATTACATGTGCATAATGACAATCCCCAAACACATAACATATAATTTAAAAACGGAAAGTCTGGCGTTAAAAGAACATTATATTTACATGATCTTTTTCTCTTCACTGAATATAATTTTTAAGACACTGTACTATGTACTTTTTTTTAATATATTTCATATATGCTTGTAGAAATTTTTTTAGTACGTCACTAACGGCCTTCAAAACGTGTCGATTTCCCATAAAAGCATGCGTTTCATCCATGTACATTGCTTTATTTCCTGTAATTCTTGCAAAAAAGTGCAATCGTTAAAACTTCAGAATCAGTAACGCATGAAGAACTAAACAAAGTATCAAAAAACTGTAAATTATCACCATGGTTATAGGTATACGATATGGAGACGTGGAATTTGAGAACCGAACATTGGGATATTCTTATTATTTATTTTTTTGTTATTTAGTAATTTATTTATTTATATACCCCAATATTGCTGTACGTATATACGGATATGTATATATTGTATACATATTTTTAAACCTTGTTGTACAAATTTTTTGTTCTAAAAAGCAAATCGAGGTTTTCCCCGTAAATTTTACTGCGGTCGGGGTTTTTATTTGCACAAGACGGGAATATCACATCTTTTTTCACCTTGCCACAAGAACTATACCAAGACGATTTAAATCACCGTACGCTATTGTTATGTATGACTTCTCCACAGTGCATGCTCTTGCTGAATTATAATTAGAATTCGCAATGAGATTATTATTCGGGTAAAAACAAAGTTTATTCCTTTTTAAGCATCAGAAAAACCCAAGCAGCTTAATTTTTGGTAAACAAAGGAACAGAATCAAATATTATTATAGAGCTATAAATAAAAAATTTAGAAATACGAAATCAGTAAATAACATACGTATGTATTTGGAGTAGGTAGGTACCCCTTTCGGTTCGGGTGGGAATTCACACACGTGAGGAAATGTCATACATTTTTCCCTTGGTGGTTAATTTATTATTATTGGAAACAAAAACAAAAATCTCATTATTTTTATTAGCATGTTAACATGCTTTCTTCAGAGAAAGTCACAAGTACGTGTTGATATTGTTTAAAATAATTCCGAGATTATTGATGCGATTCGGGTATTTCCTTACTAAAAAGTAGCAGCATTTTCCGCAAGAGGTCTCTCTTACGTGAAAAATTTACAGCGCGTATTTTGAAGCTTTCCCCACTAGATGGGATACAATTTATTATTATATAGTTTATTTATACAGATGTGTTCTTTTGGTTGCATATTATTACAAATAAAATAATATAGAGAATTGTGTTTGGCGAAAAAAAGTATTTATTTAGCAATTTATTATTTTATTTTCGTTCGTACATTGTGGAACGTTCTTCTTGCTATTAAATTAAACAATTATTTTTTCATAGAATCATGTAATTTTTCTAAATCATAAATTTGGAAAATTTTTTGAAATGGGGCAATTACAGAAGATACTCAGTCAGTAGACCTTTTGAATGGGAAGGGTAAAAAAAAAAAAAAAAAAAACATTCAAATAGAAAAATATTTTATTATGCGACATTAATTCTAACAATAGTACTAATAAGAATAATCACAAAACTCGATGAGGTTATTGTGTAGAATCAATATAAATCTAAAATACTGTCTCGAAAGGGGCTTATATAAAGCCTACTTAATCAATAAAATTTGTATAACAAACATGTGATAAAATGATTTTGCTAAGCATAATCGGAAAAAAAAAATAACATAAAAAGTCCATCACATCTCTATTGCTAATTAATTGCACTGCACAAAATGATCCTTTGAGTAACATAAGACAAAGGAAAAAAAAAAGTATAATACATAAGTCGTGTTAAAACTTTGGTGAAATTCGCAATTGCAGTTTATACAAATCGTATTCACGGCGATCGCCGTAATGGAATTAATGAAATAAATCAATGAACACATAACACAAGTCAAAGGACTAAAAGCTACAATCACAAAAAGTACAACCTATCTACTTACACAGTTAAGAGTTTACAGATTAAAATGCCTTTCACAAATAAATTTGTACTTTCATTAGGCGGTAAAGTGTGAATAATATTTACAAAAATTGCCAAACTAAGCTTGAAAACCATATCTTATTTACATGAAGCTAAGTTTGAACCTTTTCATACCTCCCTTACTTGTACATAATTTGTCGGCGTTACATGACTTTGCTTTTGCGCGAAAGTGCCTCAGATCGTTTTGATGCTCGGGATGGGCCATTGGCTTGTACCCCTGCGGAGTACACAGATCTGAAAATTGTTCATAAAAGTTCTTGTAACCCCCTTCCAACAAGTATATCTCAGGATAATGAAGGGAAGGGTAAATGTCGTTGTTGCGTATACGGTCCAGGTTTCGTAGAAAACGATATCTAAAAATAGGAAATAATATTCAGTTATGGTACTATCTCATATTGTCAGAAACTTACAAGGTAGGTCCTCTTTCACTGGAAAATTCACAATGGAAAATAAGGATATTCCTCTTATTGGCATCCTTGGGAAGTTTGTCAGATGCCAAGAGTTCTTCCATTATTTGATCCTTGGTGAAGATGTTTTGAGCGCCAGTTATATGTCCACCGTCGAACTCGTATGGATAGCGACAGTCGATGATTTTGTATGAGTTGACCTTTTCGGAAAATGAACCTTCCATAAGCAAAGCTAACGTCGAACTGGATATGGATTTCAAATCGGGGTGTCTTCCCGGAACAAGCGGAAGACTAAATGTTTTAGTGAAATCTCCGATCAGATCGGAATCCGTGGAAGACTTTTGTAACGCAGACTTGATAACGTCTTCGGAAACCGAAGCAGATCGTTGCAAAGTAGGCTTAGAAAGAACAACCGGAACGACTATGTTATCTTCTAGTAATTTGCACCTTTTAAGTCTTGATGGACTGCTGATATTAGCAGGCGGATTGGGACGTTTAAAAGATTTTGCCTCGTTCGTAAAAAGACAGGATCTTGCCCGACTGGTACCTGGAGCGATAGTTTCCAGATTAAGCGAAATAGACCTACTCATCTGAGGTCTTTGAAAAACAATTTGTTGCTGGGGACTGTTAGTATTCTCAACGCCCATTTGAATTCTCCCGTTCATAAGTTTACTAAAGTCCCCGGGAAGTTGACAATTTTCGTCTAAAGGACCCATATCGGAAAAATCGAGAAATTCGTCGTTCAGAGAATCGATCGACCCGAATGAATTCAACTTGTCTTCAACCGAAAAAGAAGAACTAGTTCCATATCCCGAATCATGGGAGTTAGGGTTGTAATCTACTAGAGGACGACGATGTCCCCCTATTCGACGGTTGCACCCTGTCGATGCAGTGCGTTCCCTCTGCGGACTATTATTATCATACAAAGAAAGTTCAACATCGTGTTTAACGGGGCTCCCCAATCTTTGATTTACGTTTTCCTTGTTGCACGACAGACTGCAGAAGGCCTTACGGTTATCACTCACTTTACAGTCATCTAATAATCTGCAACAAAAGAAAATTTTTTCTTGTATGATTTTAAAGTTTGAAAACTGACTCATTTTTATGAATAATAACGAAATGTTTGATAAACTGGAGGAAGTAGTTTAACTTGTTTTTATTAATTATTCAATTAAGTTCCTTGCATTCGACGAAAGGGTAAAGTGTTGAATCATTCTAGCTTAATAAGGGCGCACGTATTATAAATTATTTCTACATGTTTTCAAATTATTCGAATAGCAGCTGCCGCCGAGAGACATGAGTTCATCTCCTTAATAAAATTGACCTGAATTGCAAAATAGATCCTACAAACAAATAGTCCATTCCATATCATAAAGATAACGATGTGCAAAATTATATTATGAGCTCTTAAACAACTACAAATTAACAGACGAAATTAATTATACCATTAACAATTAATTTCGTTGTTCTGGTAGGAAATACAACTTAAGAAAAATGCATACATGTGGATATTTTCAGGAAATTATCAATTGTGATATATGGGATGAAACAAGAAATTTGCCGCTGGTGCAATAAAACCATTTTTAGTGGATCAGGCAACAGGAAGTGTATATTTAAAGCATGTCCCATTTATGTTAACAATTTAAAAGGGGCATACATGAACAGTAGTGTTCTTTGCGTTCGTATAGCCCAAGATAAATTATGTATATGACTATGTACATACATAGACGGATGTATCTGGTTAACGAACTCCACAGATTCTGCCTAAAGACATCTCAAACATGTACTTATGTTAAATCCGTTAAAACAACAAAAGCAACATACCTAACTATTCTACAACCAATAATACTCTTGTACACCTTCATGGTAAATTTCAAGGTGGTTTTTTTATGCTCATATCAAAAGTCTTAATTTTTTCGCGAGTTAACAAATTTCCGACATTTAACGACTGAATGTATTTGTTAGTAAACTGTTGGACAAATAATTGTTAATATTTACGAAGGAAGAGAAAAACCACGCTAACCTAAAAGTATGAGTTTCATTTTCTTTCATTAAAATTGGCGGCATCCAACAGGTAATTGTTACCGCCTAAAAGACTCAGGTGTTAAACTTTTTGGTTTAATAATCGAGTATAACAAATATTAATTGCATTTTAACATGTGTTTAAGTAATCTGTCTGCCGGTCAGCATAAAATAAACAAAAAACAGCTGTTCAAAAGTATGGGAAGAATTTGAAAAGAAAATTACCTTGAACAATGGCACACGTCGAACGATTCGCTGGCGGAATCCCACATTTTTCGTATTTCTGTACCGCGTAATTAACTCGATCGAATTTTAATTAATATGTCCGAAATATCACTTTCATTCGTGACACTAGAAATAATTAAGTTCCATTGCACTACTGTTCATAAGTTGACGAGCATTTATTCGCGGTGAAGACTGACGAGAACCACGACTAAGCGCTGACTATACGGTCTTTGTACCGAACCTCATACCCACACCGAATCGACTCCCGCAGTGTTAAATCACCAGCTTCGTTCTTCGGTTATATCCTTCGTCCTCATCAGACATACATCCCTTCGGGCAGGGGAAACTGTTCAGGAGGGTTGACCCTATATCCGAATTAATGCTGCTAGGTATCCAGGCTTCGAACATGCCTATTATTTTTAGGTTTCAGAGGTGTCTACCATCTCCCCACCATAAAGTATATTCAAATTTTATTTTTCTACCAAAGTCGATTTTCATTTGTTCCCCTTCGTGGGATATTCAAGACCAAACTGAGAATATTTTATTATAGTTAACAATACCGGCGGCGACGTTTCACTTTTGGCGTAAATAGGTACCTAGGTACTCTTCAGGGTTACAAAGAACTTAAAGTTTAAATAAAGATTAACTGCGAACTTACTAGATTCTATGTATATGCAGGGACATGGCCAGTTTTCTTTTTTTACCTTTGTAAGTCTTAAATTCCATTTAGCCCACGACGCCTTGCACAAAAATGAAAATTCTTACACCTTCAGTATCGTATAATAGTAGTAATTATATTAAGCATCTTTTCACTCAGGAAAAATAAAAAATGTCTCAGATCGCATGTTTTTTCCTCCCTTGACACGTACCTACAGTAGTTTTCATCACTTTTCTGTCAGGAAGTGAAATTTTCTGAAGCAGGTACCTCTGGATTTGGACAAAATAATAGATATTTTTACATCACTCCTCTATAAAAACGGCCCATAAATTTCCATTAAGCAGAGCGTTTCGATTATATGAATTAAGTTAAAATCAATTTCAATTTTTGTTTTATTATTTAGACAGATTGATATTTTTTTAATTAGCTCATCAAATGGTAGTAGAATATTATCGGTGGCAAATGTGAATTTTTCGATGGTGGCATATGCTTCTACACGCCACGTAATTTAAATGCATAATATGCGTTAAACTAATACACATGTGTGTTTTTGTGTATATGTTAACTGCTACTGCTGCTGCTACCAAAACACAGCAAACCATTTGATATAGAACAGATGTTGCCATTGAGGTGAAAGCCTTTTTGAAGAAAACCTGTGGGGGAGGTTAGCTATAAACAGCGTAATTTTTAATTTTTGTTGTATGTAATTAATAACCTTTGTTTCTGAAGTTATCTAATATGCGTGCATATTTAATACTTTTAAATTTTAATCGCAACTGCCTTCAATAATTATTTCTGATAGGGTAAAATTTTATTTCGCTATATTTTTATGGGAATATACCCGATAAAAATTGTGTAATTATGGACCGCAATGATTTTTGAGCCTATTGTTCCAATCTTCACGATTTGGCTAATTTCATATTGAATATACAATTTGTAAGTCGAGGAAAGATGAAAGTAATAATCATTGACCAACCACAACGACAGGAATGGCTTGAAGTAATCAAAGTTCACGTCAAATAATCCAGGCGGTACTTGGCTATAAAGAAAAGGAATATGAACAGACTTGTATTACTGTCCGGTATACCTATAATCGCTTGCCTATACTAACCAGTAATTTTCCGACACGAAATTAACTTACCAACTACATAGTAAATGACGACTAGTTCTCTACAAATCTTGTTAGGTAGTAGGTACGATAGGTACTAGGGAGGAATTATTGCAGTATTACTTTGAACTATAATAAACGAATGGTTCCAAAAAGTATATTAGAAATAATTGACAAACGTTAACCAAACTAACTGTTATATAAAATAAATTTTTCTGTTAGGTTTTTATTTTAATGATTTTTTTCTAGTTGTCGGCCACTTTTAAGTAATAATCTATCACAATTCATTAGCAGACCGGTTTTACTAGTCTCAACTTTGGCCTAAGCTAGTGACTTCAAAAAATCTACAAGAAAAGAAAACATATTTCGAAAGGCAATTTTCCCGGAAATAACCACAAAAACCTGATAATTAGTTAGTTAATTTTTTTTTTTGAACGGAGGTCTTTAGGTACTGATTGATTGGTTAATAATTTTCCAATAAACGCATAATTTGGTACAAGTCTTAAAGTAATGCGGAAATCGGTTAGTATCAACTAGGCAGTGTCAGTGCTCTTAATGTATGTACTGTTTATTTCATTCTCAAACAACCGTGTTGTTTATTTTATCAGTTTATGATTGTTTTGCTAAAAATGATGTCAGAAAATGAACTTCAAATAATGTAGAAATCGGGCACTAATCGCCATAAACCATTATATTGTAAATTTTCAAAATATCACTTACTTTTGAAGATAAACGAGGGGGTAATAAATTAAAAATTTTCGCATATGTCGGAAATTATTAATTTTTTACCACTACATTGAAACGAATGTAAAGAAATAAAATTTCAGTTTTCTCCCCAGAAAGTAATCAAATTAATAAGATATCATTTTACATAAATANCAATTCTTAAAAAAAACTTAATACCTAATATTAATGCAGAATAAATTTAAAAAGGTTTAAAAAAAAGAATTAGATAATTCAAAACTGGGACGCTTTCCGATTGAATCCAAGCTGCTAAGGTACTGGAGTGAATTTAGGAGGGTGTCGATTTTAAAATTTAATAATTTTCTTCATTTATTTTATTCACCGTTATCTATCAAAAGTTTAATAACTATTGATTAGGTACCTACTATAAAATTTATTGTCATTTCACCGTAACTAAAAGTACTGCCCAACTACGTACTTCAAATTACTAAATCATCATTTGAATTGAAATCATTTCCGCAAAACACAGGTACAGGCCTATAAAATAGAATGCCCATTGGAATGTATTTATTCGAAAACAGAAAAATTGCAACTAGACGTTAACCTACCTGACAGGTGGTTTATAGATACTAGTCGTAGTAGTGTGACAACTTTATTTATTTTTTTGCGAAACATTAATCTTTATGATTCCATATACTTAGTAAGAAATGAAAATTTATAATACCTACCTTCAGTACATTTGTAGGGTTGGCTGTATGGATGTAGCATCAGGTAGACGGCAAAATTGGTACAAATAAATTGTACCTTGAGAAAGTGCTATTAAACTGACGATGAGATGGAAGCTTTACCAACACTTACTAAGAAACTAATGACTTCACTTGTTGGATCCGTCCAATATGATTGTCATCATCATAAGTTCGTCAGTTCTATCATGAGCTAATCTAAAACTAGAACATTCCACATCCTTAACTATTGGGTTGTTCGGAAAGTCATTTCGTTTTTTCCCGACAGAGGATTTAATTGTATTCTTTTGCACCCAACTTCACATTTAAGCCGTATAATTTTTATATGCTTTGAGAGCTCATATAGCAAGGCTTGTGTGTGAAAAATTCCAATTAATTCTACGCAGTAGTTTTTGGTTGGTGCCCTTTTAAATATGGAGAGCGATAAGCAGCATTTTCGACATATCTTACTGTTTTACTACAGAAAGGGTAAAAATGCTGTTCAAGCCAGAAAGAAATTGACTGATGTGTATGGAGAAGGTGTGTTGACAGTACGCCAGTGCCAGAACTGGTTCGCTAAATTTCGATCCGGCAATTTTGATGTCGAAGATGCACCACGTTCGGGAAGGCCGGTTGAAGCTGATAAAGACGCGATAAAGGCATTAGTTGATGTGAACCGGCGAATAACAACACGTGAGATCGGATTGAGGTTAAATTTATCAAATTCAACAGTTTATGACCACTTGAAAGGCCTGGGATTATCCTCGAAGCTCGATGTATGGGTTCCCCATGTTCTCACAGAGAGAAATCTGTGTCGCCGCATTGACGTCTGCGATTCGCTTCTCAAACGTCACGAAAATGATCCGTTTTTGAAGCGCATCATCACTGGGGACGAAAAATGGGTTGTATACAACAACGTCAAACGCAAGAGGTCATGGAGCAAAAAAGATGAACCGGCTCAAACCATTTCCAAAGCCGATATTCACCAAAAAAAGGTGATGCTGTCTGTTTGGTGGGATTTTAAAGGAATCGTTTTTTTTGAGCTTTTACCGGATAACACAACGATTAATTCGGAAGTCTACTGTCATCAGCTGGACAAACTGAATGATGCACTTCAACAGAAAAGGTCAGAACTAATCAACAGGAAAGGTGTAGTGTTTCACCAAGACAACGCGAGACCTCACACAAGTTTGGTCACTCGCCAAAAGCTTTTACAGCTTGAATGGGATACAATGCTACACCCACCATATTCTCCAGACCTGGCACCATCGGATTATTATTTGTTCCGGTCACTCCAAAATTTTTTAGACGGTAAAACCTTCACCTCAAATGAGGAGGTCAAAAACCTCCTCGATCAGTTTTTTGCCAGCAAAGACCAAAAATTTTATGAGCGTGGAATTATGCTACTACCAGAAAGATGGCAAAAGGTGTTGGACCAGAACGGTCAATATATAATTTAATAAAGTATTTGTTTATTATACGAAAACTGTCTTTCATTTCCACAAAAAAAAACGAAATGACTTTCCGAACAACCCTATATTTGCGAACAGTAATCTAATCTAGGTTTACTTCTACTCCTCTGAACTCTTGCTTCTGCCTCTAATATGTCTCTGACTAGACGTCTGAGAAGGTGTTTTACCAACCTATCTCGCCTATTTTTTATTGACTTCCATAGAGTCCTCTGTTATCCTATTCTTTCTAATACCTCTTCATTTCTAATCTTCTCTATCCACAGTATCCTCATCATTTTTATTGAAGGCGACTCGACTCTGCACTATCCTCTGCTTTATATCTCTACAACTCCTTCCGTCGTGACTTATCTGACTTCCTAGATATCTGAAATCAGCCACTTCTTCTAATTTTTCGTCTCACACATCAAAATATTGGTGGTTTTCAATTAAAAATTTCGATTAAATGATATCGGGGTTAGCCCAAGATACAGTTCCATCGTTTTGTTAGACGTTTTAATACTAACTAATTCCAGAATAGAAGTAGGCACGTGGCCGTATGACCTTATGCACCAGCCGCCACTGGATAATAACAATATCGAAAATTTAGGTACGTTTTGTATTCCGTTCGACTTGGTGTAATTGAATAGCGAGGGGTGTACATTGTACACTCATGTACATATGTATGTTTGAGTAATACGTATAGCCCTCATGATATCAGGTATAGTTTTATTGATTAGAAC